CAAGAAGAAGGTGGGCAAACACCTGCAGCTGTTGTCAAGAACTCGGCAGAGCACAGGCAACAAAGGCAGATCTGTAAAGCAACATCCAGCATCAAACAGTCTGTCAACACCAGCAGCTGAGAGGCTGCAAAGAAGCAAACAGACACAGATATCAGAGCTGGAGAAAAGGGACGGCGCTACAAAAAGCTGTTTACGCTGCTGTCACTTCCAGCTCTGCTACAACCAATCAAGAAGACTGTCGTAAAGTCTTTCAGCTCCACTTACCGACATCGGAAGCTGCAGCAGCACATGCTCAGTTATTATTTATTTGTCTTGTTCGATCATTCCTGGAAGAAAATAGTAGTTTTTTTATTTTTATTTTCAGACATGAGCAGTACAAATGTTTTATGTAACACCGGCGTGTATTCTCTGTTTGAAATTTCACCTGCATGAAGAATGAAGACTCCAGCAGCTGCATGAAAGAAGATTTTACAGGAGAGAATATAAAAATAAGCACTTTGAAAGCGGTTAACCCTAATTCCTTCAATCCCATCGCTCTGCACTCGTTCCTTTGGTGCTCCATCTGGGCTGCAAGGACACATAAAAGATTATTCCCTCCAAATTGCAATAAAAAACAGAAATGCATGAATCTTTACATTGTTTTATGAATGCAGTTAGCTTCAGTTCTCACTGTGAATATAAAATCACTGGTGACTTTTATAAAGCTGACTTGAAAAGTAAATTTACGAGGGATGTTGTTGTGGACCTGATAAAAGACAAAAGTGGCAGCAAAAAGGAATAAGTTGATTTTTCCGATACTTTAAAAAACATTTTACATTTATATGGTGATATTCTTTGTTATTTTTGTTTCTTTAAACCACAAGCACTCTCACTTTGTTTTTTTACAGTTTTGGACAATTGTTACGATGTTTAACCGTAGCAGTTAATTAGAATCTCAAAGAGTCTAGTAGGTTCACTGCAACACTGACTGCTGCTGGACATCCTTCCTGAAGATACTTGATGTACTTCATGACATTTAAATTTACTTTGGTATAAATAGTGTAATTTTGAATAGAAGCTTCAATGTTTTTAATACATTTCCTTGTGACAAAAAAAGTGCAATACATATAAAAAAGATTGAACAAGTTGCTTCCCAGATTGGATTGAATCTGGTTTGTCTGATCGGTACTGTGGCCCACTGAAGCACAAAACACAAATATGACCCAAGAAAAAAAAAAAAGAAAAACATTTAAGCTGATAGAAAAGGTTCAGATAGGGTTGTGTTGTCGGCAGCCACTGAGGTCCACTGAGATTTCAGTTCCTGTCTCTGCGCTGCTCTCCGGAGTCTCTGTGTGAAGATTAAAGTTTGTTTCTGGACGGAAGAGATGAATGCAATCACCAGAGGAAAGTTTAACAAAGACCTCCTGCATGATGCAACACCTGATGTAAATTTCAACATACAAAGAGGATGGGGACGCTTACTTTTGAACCATGAAAAGCTGAGATTCAAAGACAAAGGACAGAGCAGACGGACGGTTCTGCTGTTTTCTGGCCTCTTCAGTTCAACGTGTTGTTTTTAAGGTCGAGAGTGTTTTTGTTGTTCAAGTGCTTCAGTCTCGTTGCACAATGTTTGGTTATGTGAAGTGAATGTTGTGTTTTTGCTTTGTTGGTTTTCAAAAATGTGTGTTCACCAAGTTCTTCATCTGAATTTTGTTTGTTGTTCTTTGAGGCTACAGAAATGTTTTCAATGTTCTAACAAATGACTAAATAGTATTGGGTGAATTAAACAGAAGCAGACAAAAAATAATGCACTTTTTATCCAGTACTGATCATTTTCTCCATAATTTGCCAGTCAGGCTATATTTAATATCTTAACTGGTTTTGACAAGTAGTTCTTGGGACTTCCTGAGTTTTTTCTAAAACTTTTTTATTCATTTTCAATCCAATCCTCACACCCTGTCATAGAAGCTTGTTGTGGAGTGCAATCCTTAAAACAAGAGTCAAATTCAAATCTTTATTCTAGACTCAACACTAAGTGTGCTTAAATATTATGTTGTCAATCAAATCAACACAGTTTTTATCCGTTTACTGCCAAATTATAGCAATCAATCCCTTCAGTTCCTTGACAATCATTGTGGAAATTTATGCAAAAATCAACAAATCCCCACACTTTTTTCTGCAAACATAACTGGGAGTTTTTTTTGAAGATTTTTCTAAAAATTAGTCAAAAATTTCTTACTTGTACTAAACCGCTGCCTCAACCTAAATTGATGTCAGATTATAGTCCATGACTGATGAATAAAAAGTTGCATTTACTATTATAAGTAAGCACAAATATTCCAAATATTTCCAGACACTTTGATTTTAATTCTAAAAACAATCACAAAATCCTGGAGGGACTGAAAAGGTGTTCAATAATATTATTTCATTTTAAGAATTTTGTACATTTTGCAAAAAATAAATAGTTTTGCTGTGAGGTATTGACTTTTTTTCTAGCTTTTGTTCACCTTATCATCCAAAACTGAACGTTTATTAACACATTAATGAGTGCCATTGTGAGGTCACATAACGATTAACAGAATTACCGTAATGTTTGAACTATAAGCCACTACTTTTTTTCCCATGCTTTGAACCAGGCGCCTTCTATTTGTACGTTTCCAGTGTTTTGTTTTGTTTTTTTAAAAACTCTGTTGATGCGTCTTAAAATAAGGTGCGCTCTATAGTCCAGAAAATATGGTAATCAGAAAGTAGCTTGGATTTATTTATGCTAGTGTGCCAAAGGAAGGCAAACTTGTAAGGTTGTTTTGTAGTGGCGTCATGGTTTGTCTATGACTCAAAAGAAAATAAAAAATATATATATTTTCTTTTCAAACAAATATTTAAAAATTTCTTTTATTTACCTTTTGGCTTTGCAAGCCTAAAAGTATTTAGTTTTTTTTGGGCTAAATATCTTAAGTTTCAAAATTCTAACACCTTCAGCATCAGACTCAGTAATAATCTTTTCAAGGGACATTAGACTAACTCTACTGATGATCTCATTTTCAAATATATGTTGTTTATTAGTTTTTAACCCAGAAGACATTTTGATAGGCGGTGTGTAAACAAGACAGGCTGTTATTGCTCTCACACATCACCGTGCACAATAACAACAACTCTGTGACGTGATTATTAAACACAAAATGCATCCAGCAGCTTTAAATATTTACAGAGAAAATAAAGCAACACATAAAATGCTTACAGCTGAAACAGAGGATGAATAATTTTATTCTCTAACTGTAATGTGTTTAAATTGACTGAGATTTAAACATATTTATCATTTACGGTCATAAAATATGTTAACATTTCTTCAGTCTGTTTTGCATCAAGCCACTAAATGGCACCAGCAGTTTTAGTTTGACGGATATATTGCCTGTATTTTCTGTAAACGACTCATTCGTTTGCATGAAATGTGTTACATGGCTGCCAGAATCAGATTAAAGTCATTACTGCTGTTTGAGTTCAGACAAATGGAAATTTCTACACATTTCTACACCAGCTGACGTCACTGGATGAACAAGCTTGAATGAAAAAGACTCCACACCTGCAGCTTTTGTTAGTTTCACAAATTTCACATTTAGAGAAATTGATTTGGAAAAATGTTTCTCGTTTTGTAACCATGTTATTGAATTACCAAAATTTCCACATAACATCTGTCTTAAAGATGTAATTTTACATATTAAGTTGGTGTTATGATGAGCTAGCCAGTACTAAAAAGCCTTTTTTCCTCTTGCTTGAGTACAGCTGCTTTTAACTGTTGTTTGAGTGAAAATAAAATAATTTTACGGTGAACTCTGTTGCAGAGGACAGAGCTCCTCAAAGTGTCTCTCAGGGTGAGTCCAGCCAACCTACACCATCTAGTTTGGTTGCCGTGACCAGAGGTGAGAGTCGAATGTGGACAGACCGATAAATTGAGCTTTTCTCTTTGCCTCGGCCCTTTCTTCACCTCAGCAAACTGGAGGAGCCGTGCTGCACATCAGACTCAATCTGTCCCACCGACACTCGTAAACAAGACACCAAAGATACTCCCAAGTCCCTCGCCTGAGGCGAACACCGACCCCTGACCTTATAGAGACAGTCCGCCGTTGTGGAGGAGTAAGATGTCAAATTGACAGCTGACTCTCAGTCTCTCCGGTGTCGGCTGAAGGGTCATGGCCTGAAAATGTCAAGCAGAAACATATCAGCCAGGTAAAATAAAGATGTGACCCTGAGGGTCCCAAACCGGAGACCCTCCTCTCAGTGACTCCAGGTTCTCAGTGAACCACAAACAGGAGCCCGACCTGCACCGGGAACTGGCTGACTCAGCTGCTGCTGACAGGACAGCTCTATATATTATATTGATATCTTTATACTTTACTGCCAGGCAGACAAATCTAGAAGTCATTTAAGATTGTTCTGATCTACAAAGTTTGGGGTTTGTTTTGGGGTAATTTTCAAATTTCTCCAAACATTCAGCTAAAGAAAGAACCACAAAAACCAAAAGAAAACGTTCAAATATTTTCAGAAAGTTAGAAACTCACAGACTATTTAGAGCAGATCTGCCCAAGTGCAGCACGTTTTTAAGAAAGACTTTATTGCTTTATTTACTGTTTAGGATACGCTATAAGCTTTTCTAGGCAGGGAAAATAAAATTCAATCAACCACAAAGGAATTAGCAAATTGGATGCCTGTCCAAAGAAAAACTTTTTTTTCAAGATCAGTGATTACCATAAAAACTGCAATAAGGGCACCCCTAATGTTTTCCCAACCCACTTCCAATCCATTTATTGAACCATTATATATACATTTATTTCTCTTCTAATTTTCATAAATTATGTAAATAACAATAAAAACGAAACGCTAATCTAATGTATAATGTTTTTTGAGACATATTCTATCCTTTTCCTGTTTGTTTGTGGTTCTGATTTTCTGACCAAACCAAATGATTGGCAACAAAACATGCTAAACGGTTTCAGGAACTGAAAAACGAGGACCACAACCCCGGCCGTCTTCCACTCTATCACTTTATTTGTGTCATATAGATCAACACAGCCAGACAATGAGAGTGTTACGCTGTGGAACATGGAGGCTCAGTCACAAAATGTAAACGGTCTTCCTCTAACAGTGCTGTCAGCTCAGTGATTGAAGCTCCCATTGCTTGTGATTATAAGGTCAGCAACATATGCAAGTCCAGCCAGAAGCAGGGATATGAACTACATTGCTTTGCAAAACATTCAGTCACAATTCCAAAGAAAACCAGGTAGCACCACATAGAGTACGTATATTCCCTTGACACGCGTGTTACTTTCCAGAATTTTCCAGGCAAGAACTTGTTATACAAATAAACTTGACTGAAGTTATGGAAAATAGCATCAAAGTTATTTAAAATAACCTCTCGGTTCTGGATAAGAACCTGAAAAGGTTAAGAAAAGTACAGAGTCAGTTTCTGAAAGTAATTTTCTTTACGATACCTGTCACATTTCATCTATAATGAAGGAAAGTATTGAGTAAGTTCTGGAAAATAAGCTGAATTCTGGTCACCTTCTAAAAGTTACATGTTACTTTCCAGAACTTTGCAGACAACTTCTGGAATGCATCTGGGACGAGACTCTGCTATAACTTTTATATGACTCAGAAGATCTTACCAGGCACGTTTCTGGTAAGTCCAAAGAGTATTTATTGAGGCCCACAAACCTCCTGGTAAGGACCGCAGCAATCTCTTTCTGAAAAGTTGAAGGAAAGTCTTTGGTAAGTTCCAAAAAATACCTTATAAACAAGTTAAAGAAAATCACCTGTTGTTTTCTGAATATTCCTGGTGATTCTTTATCTGAAAAATAACAGGTAAAGTCCAAGGAAGTTTTGGAAAGTACCAAGTAATTTCTTCAAATTGCCACTTAAAGTCCAGAAAGTTTGAAAAAAAAAAGGAGAAAACATTTTGTAATTATATGTAGTGCTACCAAAAAAACAGTAAGATCAGTAAAGAGGACAAAAACTTCACTAGCAACCCAGTCGACCAGTGGTTATCCAGCCACTGAACACACCTGGTGTGACATTGCTGACAGGTACAAGTGCAGATGTTAGACATACTTCAGTCTCAATGCCGTTTCCTTCCTGGCCTATTTCATCCTCGCTGTGCTCTCCAAGTACATTATAATGTCAGTGTCGTCACAATCATTAAGGCTTTGCTGCCCTCTAGTGGACAAAAACGTCAGCCAAAGACATTACAACGCGTTAAAATCATTCCGATTGGACTTACACACAAATTGCAGTCAGATACACATCATAAAGACAACAAAACAGTGCGTGTTAGAAACACTGGCCACCTGATAAGTGCTCTCTGTACATATATGATTTAACTATTCACGTGTTTTCTTTCTGTATTATAAATGTTTGACGCTACAGTTTAGGCCAGACTATTGAAAACAACCTGTTTACATCTGTATGCACTCACACTGTTTTTTTGCTTTGGCGTGTTGATGAATTTGCAGAGGAGGATATATTAACTGAAGAACCTGAGCAAAAGATGTCGGCAACCTCATCTGCACTACGCCATGCTTGAGGAGAGTGTGTGTGTGTGTGAGGGGTGGGGGGATGATTACATGTCTAGGGTCGCCATATTTCCATTCAGGTAAGAAAAAAGGCTGATATATTTGCCATTTTACTGCAGTGGTCAAGCATGCAAACAGGCATGATGGTGCGTATGTTTGTGTAAGACATCATGGGCAAAGAATCCTCTTGGCACAACTGGAGCGACACGTAAGATAATAAAACTGCGTATAAATATTCAGCACGAAGTGCTAAACACGTTCCAACAACACAGAAATGAACAAATAGGCAGAGGACAGTCATTTTTACAAAAAGAAATAAACTTTACAAAGGCATTTGTGTTTTACTTAAACAACCTCAAATATGAAGATGAAGTGTGAGCAGCAATTTACAGATGGAAGTGAGTTTTCTGCGTTGAGAGTACATTACATTTACAGGTTTCAGCTGCGTGTGATGAACAGCAGTGAAAGCAACACGTTGTCCTAAACAAATGAACGCAGCAGGGCGGTGAGTGCTTTTTATAGTGCTTCTTTCTGGTTATGATGGACACACAAGTCCAGAGACTGAAGTAGTGATTAATGCTGTAAAAATAACTGCCTTTAAAGTCGTCACATTTTCAGTTTTGTCCAGCTCTTTAGTTGCCAGAAAGTCTCGTCCTGGTTACTGTTAACTTTCCGTGGGTCTCCTTGAGTTCAGCTTCCTTCCTTGTCCCCACTTCAGCTTGTTTTTCTTGCCTTTTTTTCCAATATGGCTACAGAAGATCCATGAACCAGATTCAGCGGATGGGAAAGTGTGTCAGGATGTGTCCCCTACATCTAACCAGGCCAGCGGTCTCCGCTCCACTTTCCCAGAAAGTTGCACTGAGAGAAGTCAGTACCCTTATTTATTTGTCCTCTTCACACAGCCTTTTTTTTTTTTTGAATGTGCTTTTTCATGAATGTGTAAAAAGTAAGCAGAGGCAGCAGGAACGGTCAGGATAAGCTTACCTAACTAATTCTTGTTGCTACGTTAGCAGGTTTAGTGTGCTTTGTCGAGTAAATACCAACAAAGCACAGAGAGCGGTCTGTGCAGACGGCCTTTTCTAGGTTCATTTTCCAAGAATACAAACTCAGAAAGTAGGACAAAACTCTGAATCACCCAGGATTCCTGTCTGTGTCCTTGTGTTGGCGCTGAATCCCAAATGATCACTACTGTTTGACATTTTTGCTGATTGTAGCTACATTGCTAGTAAGCGTGTTTCCATGCATTTCTATGCCTGCAAAAGTGTTGACACATTTCACATTAAGGAAATATTTGTTTCTCCATAAGCAGGAGGAGGTAGCAGCTCGGCCTAAACCTACCCAAAGCACTTTTCTACAGGGCTGAAAATGATACACAGTATAAACCGGGGAGTTATTTTATTATTCTCAGCAATTTCTTCTTTTTAAAAATCAACGCCAGCATAACTTGACAGCTTCCAATGCAGTCCAATATGTTGGACTTAGAAAAGGGAGGGATATTTCATGCCTAAACATGTATTTAGATAAATATGCTAACAAGAGAGACGCTTTTCTGGATGTTTTCATTTCATTTATCATTGGGAAAATACTACAGATGATAACAGAGCTAATATAAAAAATGGACATTTACCAAAATTAGGTTTAAGCCATTAGAGGCTTTCTCTTTTTAGTTCTGCCTCACTATAACCTTTCAAGTTGAAACAATAAAAAAAAAAAAAAAAAAAAAAAAACTATGAGTGGGAAATACCAGGTTGAATATGAACAGCTACTAATAGTTGCTGACACAGCTACTAGGAAAATATGATTACATCTTTCTGACAATGTGGGTCAGAACTGGAGCAGAAATTATAATGTCGACCTGAATGCTGTTAGAATAAAAGTCTCTAATGACAGTTTTGGTAATAAATAAATAAAATTTTCATAGTCTAATTACAGTAAGATTGGAGCTCACCACAGAGGGCTTTTAAATATCTGCGTAGAGTGCCGGTCTGCTACGTCTCCAATGTACATTGTTCAGTGAACGCAAGGACAATTTGAAAAAACATAACTCTTGACGTCATGATGCCACACTCCAGTGGAAAACTGGAGCCATAACTACTTTCGTTTTAGGTGGTTATTGTGTTTCGCATAACATTATACATCTTTGAGGAGTTTTGGCTGTGTTCTCTACTGTGTTTGTAAGATAAGGAAATAAAGTAACTACTGAGAGCTACAAGCCTGAACTGAAGCTGCATGTTCTTCACATAAACTGAACTAGAGGCATCCTAAAATTACGCTCTAGAAGGAAAGGGGTGAATGAGAAAAGGTGATATGGTTAGAGCAAAGAGGGCATGAGTGGAAGAGGCAACGACTGCTCCACTTTTTATGGCGTTCTTTTTAATCGCCTCCTCCAAAGCAGTAATGGATTGAGTGGTCGGGAAGCTAATGGTGAAGTAAGACAGCATGACGAGACGAGGCACAGATCATTGTAAGAGGAGCTGACCAGGTGCTGTTCAGTCATAAAAATGATTTCATCCATGACTTGAAATGGAATAATCTGGTTTATTAGCTCTAAATAATCAGAATCATCTGTGATTTAATATCTTGCATTATGTTTTCTACTTTCTCTGATTTTTTTCTCTTACCTCCTTTGGCTTTTTGTGGTTTAAAATAATAAATATTATTACCTCATCTCGCTGTGTAACAAACACTGTTTCATCGATGCTTCAGCCCCCTCAGATATCCACTCCCAGATCCTCTAGCGCTGTTTCTTTTGTAAAAAGAATAAACTTTCTCTATTGTTCAGTGGCTATCTTTAGCACTGTTAGCACCCCCACTCCAACTCCTGCATAGATATATCTGGAAACACATTTCTAAGCCTTCTGTCATCCTCACCTCCTCTCAGTAAAGCATGCAATTTTAAGGATTTACTTGCTCTCGGCCTTATCTCGTGCCTGCACTCTGGAACAACTCTGATCTCCTGAACTTGTGGGTTTACTGATGGTTGACGGGATGCGCTGCGTGAGCTCACCCCCTCCCTTCATTTATCTTTTTATCCTCCCCCTTCCAGACCACTGGTTCCACCTGCATCAGACCCGAGCATCTTTCTCTCTTCTGTCTGAACCTGCTCCTTCCTGTGTGCTCAGCGTTTTCTTTCAGCTCCTGCTCAAACCGTCTTGCTCTTGATGCGTTTTCTGTCTCACATGTCATCGCCAGCGTGGCAGCTCTCCTCTCCATGTATAATAAGGACGGGGAAGAAGAAGGCATCCTGGTAGGATGGAGGTCGATCCCTCTCAGCCTCCCTATTTTCTCCTCCTCCACCTCCTCCTACTCCTCCCTGCTCTGCCTCCTCGTCTCTGTCTCTTCCCCCGTTTTCCTGTCTTCTCACCTGTTCCTCTTCCTCCTCCTCATCGCCTTCTCCTTCCAGCACCCCCCTGGTTTCCTCATTGTTCTGTCTGGAGCCTATTCCTAAGAATCCTCCGCTCCCTCCGCCACCACTGCTTCCTCCGCCTCCGCTCCCTCCTCCATCCTCCCTGCTGCCTCCCAGTCCTCCTCCGATGCTTCTTGAATGAAACAAGCTGTTCTGTCGCCCACCTCCGAGTCTCCCCAGAGAGAACCCGCTGCGACTGAGCACCAGCCTTCCTCCTATGCCTCCACTGCCTGGCGCTGCTGCCCGGATCCCGGCAACGGTGGCGTTGAGGAGGGCAGTGGTCCCCATCGGAGCCCTCAACCTGGAGGGCAGACTGGAACTTGACGTGGTTCTCCTGCACCTGGGGCAGCTCTGCAGGAGGTAGGCGGAGTTGAACACCACAGGTAGAGTCAGAGGTGGCGGGTGGGGGGCTTGTGTGGGGGTGACCCCTGGGGGTCCAGAGATGGGCGTGGAGGCTGTGGGGTTTGTGCTTCCACTGGAGTCCAGGTCCATCAGGAGGGCCTCGGAGTAGCTGGGCACCATCTGCTGGTTGCAACGGATGTGCCACTCCAGCTCTGTCATGTCCACCGTGTTGACGCGGGAGATGGCCCTGTAGCTGGTCCCGTTCAGCCCGAATCCCGTCCCGATTCCGTTCTCAGTCCCTCCTTCCACCGCATCGCCTTGTCTGCCTCCACCCTGCCCTCCCACGACAACTCCGCCGCCGCCGGCGTCCTCCTCCTCGCCGAACAGCTTCTCCACATGGTAGTGCACGTACGCCGTGCGGTATTCTGACACGACCCGCAGCGGCCATGACAGGAGGAAAGCCGAGGCCAGCCAGAACACCCGGTGGCGAGAGAACCACGGCTGACGGGCCGGATCTGGGAAGGCCAGGATGTGCTCCCGGAAATCCACGTTTTTCAGGTGCATTCCCTCCCGGGCCTCCATGTAGTCGTCCAGTCCTTCATTTTCCCCAAAGAACCGCGCTCGCTTAAATCACAGAGAAAAAACAACAAAAAACACATTCAGTTTCAAACTTTGTGAGCTTTTCATCCAATAAAGATCCTAAACTTCAATTGCTTTGATCACTTTCATAGTTTCAAAATTATGACTACAATAAAACCTTTTAAAAACTTTTGCCCTCTAGCTTGAGGTACCTGTAATTTGTAAAAACAAATGAAACTACTAATGGATAGTAAATAAATCACAGCTCTTTACCGCAAAGTAGCTTTAGTCTAATTTCTAGAGCAAATATTGTAGTACATTTAAAATAAAACAAAACTAACTTACAAATAACTTTTCAGCAGGATTCTTACCTGAGTGAGGTAAGCAGCTTCAGCTCGAGCACTGGAGAAGCTAAAGCACAGAAATGCAAGAAATTAAAACAAAAGTAGAGATCAGCTTCACTATCAAACTAAATTCAAACTACAGAGCAGATTTGTTAGTACTTTAGAAGTCTGTTGGTACCTGAAACACTTAGTGAAGCGGAGGCGAACAGCAGGGTGGTGCTCCAGGTCGAGCAGCTCTTTTGACACATCTTTGACGCCGTAGCGGGCGTAGTCAAACTCTGAACTGGAGGCATGAGTGTTCACTCGTTCATGGTAGACCTGAGGAAAGGTTAGAAAAAAGGAGAGAAACAAAATTACTTCTCTTTGTTTGTTCAGGTAAGCAAATAAAGAGAAATATGAAAATAAATGTAAAATGAATGCAGGTCTTCTTTGGCTTAGCCCCTCTTGTTACAGTAAAACAAATGTTTTTGTTAATGTTTAACGGCTTAGATAACAGAAAATGTAATTTACATCTTCAAGTACACAACATGAATGACTCCTGTGTTTTTTTTATGGCTCCATAGCCGTGCTTCCAACAATGTTTTCCTATGCACATCTTGAAGCAATGCATTAGGAAAGATGATGGACCAGAAAAATTGGAAATGACTTTTTACTTTTCCGAATATTAATGAACTAAAGAAATGGGAATTGTTTTGCGACATTGTAAAAGTTTGCTCAAAATTTATATCACATTACATGGAAACAGATGGAAATGTAAACTTTTCTTGGACAAACACTGAACTTTTAGTGGGGCGAACAAAAAGATTAGTGCTTTATGTGTACTTTAGCTGAAAATACATAATTTGCATTTTCTTTTATGCATCATTTTAAAAGTTTCGCAATAATATTGGATGAAAAGATAGCTAGTGACTCGACTGGATTGTCTAATGGAGCAACATGTTAACAAATCTGTCCTGTTACAAATCCTGCGTTTCCTGAATTTGTACAGGAAACACAGGGTGCCCACTTAAAGCCGGGCACCTTGGCCCGTGCAGAAGGTGTTTGCCATGGAGACTATGGCATTACATTGACGGAGGCACTGCTAACCAAGGATTTACATAGCTAGCTAAGGTGACTCTGCCTGCTGGTTGGGCATGAAGAGATGAGACAGATGGTGCTCTCCCTGTCTGATCTCCTGACAGCTGAAGGAAGATGCTAATTCATGGAATCATACTGACATCTATCTATCATCTATCAATCTATACTTTTACTTGTTTTTATAAATTTGACAGAAAAGCATTGAATAAAGAAAGAGCCCCCTCACCTGTGTGGTGGTGTATGCATCTCCGTTGCGGTACCTGGTCACCTGTCTGGTCCTCCTCACGTAGTGGTAGCTGATGGCCTTCCACCAAATACATGGAGTGGCCTGCTGGAGTCTCTGGACCCGCTCATACACTTCCTAGCATACCGAGCCAGTTCATGCAAAATGTTAGAAAAAGTTAAACTGAGAGAACTTCCTAAAAAAAAAAAGAAAAAAAAAACAAAACAGAACAACAGGAGCAAGATAACTATTGTTTGGGTACAATAGCCACAGCGGACAAGACAAAGTTTAATTATATCACAATTATTGTTGTTTTTTTTTTTTTGTGCTGGAAGCAACTACATCATTTTACAGCAAGAAGTTTTTCCATTACAGAACAAAACAGCCAGGCTGAGCCAGGTCAAGTCATTTTCTACTTGATGAGGCAATAAGTTTTCCAGAAATGATGGAGGAAATGTGTTCATATTCTCTCCTGGAGAAACAGTGAGCTTTCTGTACGAAAGAGAATGATGCATTGATAATTTATGTGTACTTCAGCTGAACTCCTTATTTTAGTCGGAGTATTCTGGTAGGAATGCGTGGTCTTTATTACCACAACACAGAAGACAAAATAAGACTACATACAACATCCTGCAGCATAAAACTACAGTAGTTAAAAACCAGTGTGAATAAATGAGTCAAACCTTTTCTTAAAGAATCAGTGGAAATAACAGGAAAGCATCCTACAATCTGGGGGATGAAAAATTTGTCTCCTCTGGTCTTAAAATGCATTAGAGGAACCAAAAACAATGCAGTTACATGTCAAATACCTGGAATTCAGCGTGAGCCAACATGGCCGTCTTAGAGAAGCAGTGCCAGCACTCCACCAGGTAAACCACGTACAGCATCGCCAGGAAGGCCAGCGGGATGTAGACGTAGCCGCTGGAGCACGGGCTCTCCAGGTGGAGGATGTCATTGTAGTAGGCGGCGGATGTGGCGTCGTCGGTGCCACCAAGAGGCATGGAGGAGGAAGAGCCGAGGACGGGCACTCGGCAGAGAGCGCACCAGGCCAGCGTGGCGAAACAGCCGTACATGAGCAGCGTCAGGAGGAGGCACTTCCAGTGGGACTCTCTGCACAGGGAGGAGGCCAGGGACTGCTGGGTGGGCTTTTGCTGTGGGACAAAGCAAATATTAACTACACGTTTCCTTATCCATTTGTTCAATGAAAGCCAATAAATTTGGTAACTGTATTTTCTATTTTATTGATTTCATTGTATTTTCAATTGATTTGAAAATACAGTTATCACGCGTAGCTTAGTGACACAAATCACACTTCTTCATGCAACTGGTTTTGTAAAGAAGGGTGTTACAAATGGGAATGTTTTTCAAGCGTGTTTGTGGGGCTTTAATTGGTGGGACACACAGGTATCGAAACAAATTCTAACAAATAGTTCTTATCGTCAATTTTATCGTCATCACAAAAGTACCGGTAAATATTGCGATAAAATAAGTGCACCCCTAGTGCAATAAATAAAGCAACATGCATAGGTGTTAATATTTTATCATGAGAAGAAGATTTATTTTTTTGTCAAGGAAGGAATAAAGATGTGCTTCAGGCTGATGTCTGGTAAAGTATTAATAACCTTCCTGTTTGGTAAACAGTGTCAGATTTCCAACCAAATGTGCAGCCGGAGGCCCGGACCAAAGGAACGCATTAGAACTGCTTCATACACATCTGAGGGTAAGTGCTGCACATTAGACACACACACACAGTGTTTACGGTGCACTGAAATACACAAGCATAGCTGGTATGATATGCTTCCTTCTTCGTCCACATGCACGTTCTCGGCATTGTAATGCAGCCAGAAGAGAATATGTGAATAATTTAGATGAGAACGATGCTTCTAGACGGTTCCCCAGCCAACTGACTCGGCTCCAACATCAGCAGCACGTCGGTGCTGATGCAATGTGTGCATCAATGTCAGAGAGGCAAAAAATAAAGCTTGTGTCACACTGTTTAAGAGTGAAGATGTTTTGTTTCATCCCTCATAAAGATGAAGGAGTGTTTGTTGTCTGTTTCACTTTGTGAAAAGACAAAAAAAAAAAAAAGGAGATGAGTCGGGAAAGAAAAGCAGATGGGATGACACCAGTGTCCTTCTCTCCTCTCAGCCAAGTCTGTCAGCATCTATCCCTCTATTTACCTCACACACAAGCCTTTATTCACTACCATTCGCTCCTTCTTTCTTACACACTCATCTCTTTTCAGCACAGTTGAACCACAAGGTGATATTTGCTGGCGAGCTGGACGCAAAGGCTTTAAATTTTTCTCCTGTATCTGCTGATCGTCAAGGGCAACGCTGTGAGGCAGAATCAATGGGACCACTCAACCAGCTGTTCGCCATGACAAAAATAACCCCTAAGAAGCAGCAAATAAAAGCAGCCACTTAAAAAAAAGACCGGTGGAGCATCTTCCTTTTGTTCTCTTGAAATCGTTCTCCTTTTCTTAACTATATTGTTTTATACCTCAACTTTCATTTAAACTACTCAACAACGTCCTACCTGGCCTGCTTGACGTGTTTGTTAATCTTCATGATGGTGTTTGGTCCTAAAAGTTCTCTAAAAACCTCAGAGGAATTCACAGAACAGCTGCTTACTCAGTTTAAATTACACACACAGACTAATTGCCAAATCGGTGAAGGCAATTGGTTAAATTGGATTTAATTTAGACGTCTACAGGCAAAATGTTAAAAAAAAGAAAAAAAAGCTGTGTATACTTTTGCAAGGTATAATCTCTGACTCTTACCTCCACCTCTGTCCCCACCCATACATCTCCTCTCTTATTTCCTCATTAAAGCTCTGTCTCCAAGTGGATTGATCGAGCTGACAGAGCAGAGCAGAGAGTGAGGCGGTGAGCAGCATGTGAGACAGAAATTATCCTAAACTTTATGAGTGCAGGACAGGAAGTGTAACAAATAGCAGGTGTAAGAGATTACACATCACCTCAAGAAACCCCTGTGGTGACATCTTCCCCGTCTTCCTTCTCTCCAAGTTTTTAACTAAATATCTTTCACACCTGCAAGTATCCAGTTACCCAACAATTTCATCACGAGTCTGCAACAATGCGGCCAGGGAGGCAAAAATCTGCCCCAAGACAGGAGTCAAATTATTCGTGTTGGCACTTACGGTGCCAGGTCCCTCAGGGAGGAAAAAGAGGATGCGGTGTGGGGTCACTTAGTAACAGAGCCGCGTCTCAAAGCAACAGCCGTGCCAACAATATAAATAAACATATACGAAAATAGAAGCAAGAGTTGAATTTGCACCGACAAAGACAACTCTAGTTTATAGTCAAACAATAATCGCAAAACCAAGTCTACAACAATATTTTTAAAATAATAAATGTAGTGACTGTTCTAAAATCTATTAAAAAACTTCCACAAGTACAATTCTTAACTTGAAGGCCAAAGTGTTGTACTAAACACTTTCTTCTGTTTGGCAGCAGAAAATGTCTTAAAAAAGTAGGATTGAAAATATGTCTTTTCACTATAAAGACATAGTCAGCACAGCTCTACTCAGTTATAAACAATTAGTAACTGCAACACAGCAGCAGTCTCTTTTTCGGAACATACTTTTATGGAGTTTCAAGTGTGCTGAGTAAGACTTGACTTTATTAAATATATTAAGACTAAAGTGACAGATTTTGGTAATTCCACTGTGTCACCTAAAGTATTTAAGATTCCCTAGACAGGTATAATAAGCTGGTTGTCACAAATCTGGGGTTCTAATTGGAACCTAAGCTTAAATTTGACAGCTCAGATTACTGGAGTTGGTCATTTAAGATTTTGCAGTTGAAGTAGTTTGTTGAAATAAAGCCAATTCTTTCCAAGCAGCACTTTGAAGGTGTAATCCATGCATTAGTTATCGCTTGGTTAGATTATCGTAATGCACCTAATGTAGAGGACAGCGCTTCGTCTCGCTCGTCTCCAGAGCCGGCAAAATGCTGCAGCTCATTTTTTAGATGGTACTCGGAAGTTTGAACACATTTACCCCCTTTTTACCTTCAATTCCTACAGTGAAGTGAAAAAGGGCCAAGAGTTTCCTTCTTCTGACTCACTCAGGACTGGGTAGCCACCAGAAAACCAGTTTTGGTCCTGGAACAGGTTCTTCAGCTTTGGAAGTAAAAGAAAGTGGTGCAACACCTGAACCTAGCAATGGTTTAGCTTTGGAGTTAAAGTAAAGATCTGCTTCAATTATGACAAATCTTATCAATAGATTACAAGTTTGATACATTAAGTGAAAGTGTTGTAGCTGCTGGCTAACTAGCCTGAATGATCTGAAACCAGAAGGTTTCCTAGTCTTCACAATAATTTTATTTTTCTTTTGGGAGAAACCGTTTGGGAATCTTACTTTCTGTCACAAGATGGTTTCTATTATTCTGTAAGAGTTGCCTCAGTCAAACTTCAAGTGATCAATGATCAATCAGTCTTCCTGAGGATAATGTAAAGAACAGAAGAGCAATCTAAAAAGCCAAATCTCAAGGGAGTCAGCTCTTGGTTTTTTCCCAAACTGCCCCACGACCAATAAGAAGAAGCTGCCCCAGTACTCCTGAATTTAGATGGAACAAATTACAGTGCCAAATTTATTCCAGAGCATCCAAAGCTTATTAAACAGAGCACAGCAGTCAGGGTTGGATCCTTATGGCCAGGTTCTTATGTTAGGTTCAGAAAGCTTTTAACAAGTCTGTGCAAACAGCAGATCTATTTATCCTGCAAATAGACTATTTTCTTTTGCCACAAAGTGCATTTGCTATGTATTGACATGCTTGTTGAGTTGCTTTGAACATATTTCCTCATACTAAAAGCATAGAAAACATTCAATTAGCTTTCTATTTAACAAATTACAAGCTACAACTACTGATGAATTGGGTTTTGATAGCAGGTGTCCTTCAAATCCTCTCTTTGCACACAGTTCTCCATCTGTCCACTGCACACACCGTTTTCACACACCTTTTCCAACATGAAGTGCCTAATAGAATCACTCTCTCCCACATTGATTCTGTGCTCGAACTGATTCAGCTCGTTAGGTGTGACTGGAGCGGCTATAATTAGCTGCCCCAGTGCGTGGGTGGCGAATGAGGTAGGGAAGTGAGGAAAATGTGCTTTTGATGCCTGCAGAGCACAATTTAAATCCATTCCCTTTTATCGGGACTGGATTGAGCCCTTCTAGAGTGTCAGGCTACAAGCTGCAATAACAGATAGATTGTTAGCACTTACTGAGGTAGCCATGTGTCACCACAGTCTAACAGTGATACAAACATCATCCCTCTGCCTGAAAGTGATCATCCGGTGTTCATTTCCCACTATAAATGTAACTCGACAAAAGTATTAGCAGGTAAGTCAAGAAAACAACTGCTTTTATAGATGTCACAGAAATAAAACATAAAGACTTTAATCTTATGCCCAATGAGGGTCTGAACGGCCTCCTTCTCTCTCTGCTCATTGAACCTGTTATGCATCCATAAAGCTCATTTTCAAGTCTTCTGGGATCTAGGATCATAGTTCAGGGATTACCTGAGCTTTTTAGCTGCTTTTAAGTTGCTTCAGATTGGTTACGCATCAAAACAATTGTCCAAAAGTAAAGACAAAGCTGCTTGTATATGCACCTCATCCAAAACCAGAAGGAGAAATTGTCAAAACATGTAATGGTTCAGCCAAAATAACATTAATAAACATATACAAAAAGACATACTGTCATCATAAGCAGAGGGGGTCTAAAAAGTTGTTTTGATCATAATTTGTACATGCTGTTTGAATAATTTGTAAAGTCCTTTTTGAGACATTTTGTCTAATTAATTAGAAATGTTTAGAGTCCCTTAAAACTGTATTCAATGAGAATACAATGTTGGCTGGAGTTATAAGCTGAACGTCTCTTTATTCTGCAGTCTACTCAACTTACACACTTTAAATAGGTCAACATGCCACTTTGATATTTTCTCCACTACAATCACAAATATTTCCCACTAAGTCCAGCCTTCATCACTGTTGATTTTTTTTAATATCACAAAATGGAATTAATAATCTTGCTCGAGAAATTCATTGGTGACTTCTGTCAAGTTATAGAATCACCAAGAGGATTGCAATGCTATCTAAAGATATCTCAATTAGGACTCTTTTTGGTCCAGGATCATTATAGAAAAGGTATTTCCTGATAAAGACCTGTCTGTTCAACACCACATTGAACCCAATGCTATGCTCCAAAACTCAGTGGTTTTTAAGAGTGATAGAACAACATACTGTTTTCGACAGAATGACATGATCTACATTACTATTGTGACTGTCTCCGGCTTAACTCAATCACTAATTATTTTAACGCTGAAGGCTCCATTTTCGCTGACGGTCACAGATGTTTTGTCCCTACCCTGGCTTTGACAGGACAGGATTTTCTTTCTAAAGGCATATCTCATGGAGCAACAGTCTTCAGTGAAGGTACAAAAACATGCAGATTGTAATTCTAGAGATGTTAGAATGACAGAAAAGGCTGGATTGCAAAGTCAACCTAATTTTGCAAATCATGGATACAGAAACTAACCCAACATCAGGGTATCAATAGTTGAGTGAATTATTTTCTGATATTTGTATTTTTTGTTTGTGGAAGAACAAAAAAAGGCTGAAAATAGAGCTGCAAGATTACAATGACAATATCAAGATGACTAACCTACCCTTTCAGACTATTTTCTAAAGTCGAAACATCCCTGCCACTTTGAGATATTTAGCATCTCATACACTAAAAATAAATATCAAATATAGGCATTAAGGCCAGTGGAAGTCTACCCAACAGGCCAAAAATATAATTTGCACCCAGAACCTACATGCATGACTTGAAATTCAATATCCTGCCAAATAATGTGTTGGAGCTGCTTTATGCGATTGCACACAATTGATTCTGAGGATGGAATATATTTTTCAGCTCCAGCTAACTTTAACTTTCCAATTAGTTAAGAAATACATTTTTTTAACAAAGTTGTGTGTCACGTATATAAGTAAACAGAACATTTAGATACAAACTCCAGGTGTGATTTGGCACATTTTACATCCAAAAATCAAATCTTTCAACATTTCAAAGTCGAACAGTCCAATAATTTATGAGAATTATTTTGCAATTAGTACCGGTTGGTTTACTGCAGCAGAACTCAATGCGGAAAGGAGTCATTTTTGGTTCCATGCAGGGATCTGTGAACCAAAATTACCATTTTATTGTCAATCACACAGCTCTGCGTCATTTGTAATTACGCCTGTGTGAACACACATGCATAACCCCATGTCGACATGAGAGCAAATAAAGTTAATGGAGGTAAGAGTGTGCAGCCTGAAAGGGCGAGCTAAATGGAGAGAGAGGCAGTACGACTCCACAAGGCGAATCTAAAACAGGAAGGAGAAGAGAAGGGGAAGATGAGAGTAATGGAGGCAGAAAACAGATGGAGTCTGCATCATTGAATTACATCGCACTGTCTGCAAGGAAGGCCTGGACAGAGACGGGAGAAAGTGGTGAAATAAAGTGAGAGGCAGCATTTAACACCACATCTACATGTTGACGCCTTACGTTAATGAGGTTTAGTCCCTCTTTCTTGATTTTGATATTAGGTGACAGAAATAAAATCCTCTTTAAGACGCAAAACAGAGCGATTCTCCGAGTCTGAAGTCACAACGTTTAAAGCCAAATAGAGCTAAAAACACTTCATATATAAATCAGTAGCTTCCAACACACATCAAAGGTTGTACTATTTATTAAATTTAAAATGATTTTTGTTGCAGTTTCAACATAAGAAGAAAAATACAAATATTTTTAAGTCAACAGGCGGTTTAGTTCTTTCATGGTAAAGTTTAGGGATGAGACAGAACCATAGAGAGCGAAATGCCAGTAAACTATATTGTAAATCGTACCATTCCTGAGCTCCCTTTGGTTTGTAAGTCCACAGGATAACAGGCTGGTACAGTGCGGTTAGGATGGAGCTATTGGCGTGACACTACACAGTCCATTGACTGGACGACAAAAAACAAAAACTTCATTGCTTGCAGCAAGTGGTAGACACACTAATTAACTCCGCCTCCCCAGAGAGAGTCCAAATGGCAGGAGGAAGCTCTTCTGAATACCATAAAATAGCGTACCGTACCGCACCAAACCACACCATTCAGTGGGAAGAAGGCATTGATGACCCTCCAAGACTTTTGGGAAAATATGTAATTGAGTCATGAGACACAAAGGGAACTTTCTGGAAGGCATGAGTAAAACCTGCACAGCATTACGAAAAAAGAACATCATACAGATGAAACATGGTGGCAGTAGTGAGATTGTTTTAAGCTGCTTTGCAATTTCAGGATTTGGATGGCGTGATTTCAAGTGGACTTTGTTGGACAAGGATCCAAAGCCCTTTAGCAAATTCATTAATGAATGGCTTAAAAGTAGCCCCATAAAATTTGTGTTTTGGAATGGCCTAGTCAAAGTCTGGAGTTCAATTTGTTGATATTCTGTGACTTGGCCCTTAAATGGGCTGTTCATGCTTGAATAGCCCATAATTCTGAAAAGAAGAGTCCATCGGATTTCTCCACAGCAAAGTGAAAGACTCACTAGCAGCTGTTGCTAAACTGGACAGATTCAAAGGGATTTATTTTACAGCCAGGTTGATTTGGACCGCTTGCTAAACAATATTAGAAAAACATGGGATGTCTGATAATATTGGAAAAACACTAAATAATAATAAAACTTGCAATAGGGAAATAAATTAAAATGTATTAGTTTTTTTGGCTTTGTGGCAAACATAGACTCCAGATAATCAGTAGTCTATCCAGAGCATAAAAATAGATAAAACTACTTTTTCCATCTAAGCAAAGTTTTATTGTAAATATTGCTTGTAGCCAACATCTGCTGTCTTGGAAAATTAAATAAATTTGTAGTTCTTTTTAATTCCCTGACCACTTTACCAACCCTTTACTGTCCAAAGCTTTTTATTTGACATTTAACGGGTGTCAAATACATTACAGACTTAAAGATGTAAGCTGCTAGAACTTATTGCACTCCAACCCGTTCTTTGAGATGCAAATAGAGATGCAATTTAAAATTAAAAAAAAGCACATTGTGCAGTCCTATTTTTATCACCCCCTTAATTATCATTAACAGAATAGACTTTTGTATTTACACTAATTATCTTTGCCTGAAACTGAAATTTGTTTGATAATTTTAAACATGGGGCTGCATGGTGGAACAGTTGCCTTGAAGCAACAAGGTCATGGGTTTGAATCCCAGCCTGGTGTCTTTCTGCATGTTCTACCTGATCATGCATGGTTTCTCTCCAGGTACTCCAGCTTCCCAAAGTCCAAAAACATTACTGTTAGTTTACTTAATACTCTAAAATGCCTTTAAGTGAGTGTGTGAGTGTGTGCGTGCGTGATGTCCCAGAGATGGATTGACTACCCATAGTGTACCCTGCCTCTCGCCCAATCACTGCTGGCAATAGGCACCAGCCCACCAACAACCCTCCAAGGACGATGGAAGGATTTAAAGCATTTCTATGTCGCTGGAGAACGGAAATGAAATCTCTACGTGTGTAAATACATATTTACAGCTCTTAGGTGTTTAGGTAAAAAACAAAGCACAGTGCAGAGTGGGGGGCACTGCGCCCTAGAACACATGAGGGATGTGTCATTCTGTGATTATGCTCACATTATGTGTGATGGTGTAATTCTGGATGTGCTGTGGGTGTGTGGCTTCACTGTGATGTAATCCCCCTGTGTAGTTTTGAGGTGACAGCTGATGGATGACATGTTTTACTATTCCGTGAAATCAACACATCACGCAGCAGAAGGACGGGGATTTTGAGTTCTCCTCACCTAAACCACTCATTTTTCATTCATCCATATTAAAGTCAAGGTCCTGCTGTGTGTCCTTGTTTGTGTACAGCACAGCAAGCATAAGAGAGCACAGCAAAAAATAGCTGTTTTGTCAATGAAAGCGCAGCAGCGGACAAGCGCAGATACTACAGGATATAAAATCAGGGGTTGTTTGGGAACCACCAGGGATGACACAATGCTTTCTTAAAGGGAGGAGGGGGTCTAAAGGACTCCTTCTGATCAGGTGTAAACAAACGTGACTCGAGAATCCGAAAAGCGTGTCCATTCTCACCTGCTCTCGTCCCGACCCTTCCTCCAAAATGGGCTCTTCTGCGGCGGCCGTCTCCTCCTCCGTCTGCATCTTCCTCCCCTTTCCCTGTCTCCTTCCTCCACCTCACAACCAACCACGGGCAGCTCCCACGCAGGTAACGTCTGAAGTCATGGGCCTCCCCGGCGGTAACGGCGGAGAAGCAGGGAGCACGGTCACCCCATCCGCCGCCGCAAGTCGGTGTCCGATTTCACGATGGCGGGGCCTGCGGCAAATGAGCCTCATCTGCTGCTGCGGCCGCTGCTGCTGGTGTCCTTCCCGCGTCTCCTCCTCCTCCCAGCGCTGTGACCCCGCTCACAGGCGGTGCGGCGCCTGCTCCATCCCCCGGCTCCTCCGGCTCTCTGCTTCGAAGGACAAAACGACAAATGAGAGGCCAGGAGGAGCAGCCGCAGTCGGAGCCCCTCGACGCGACTCTGGCGAACGGTTAACCGTCTCAACGGCCGCCGCTCGCTCGCTCGCGCTCACTGAGCTCCGTACCGAGTTGTGGCACGTGAGGGCGCGTGACCGGGCAGTGCAGGAGAGTGAACGCACGCGAAGCGGAAAATTTTACCCGTCGTTTGACCTGCTAGAGCGGGGGACACGGGACAAACCACCAAGTGACGACAAAAAATAAACTTTGTTTATCGAACACCATTTGTTGGGATTTCTTTGACGTCAGACCCCAACAGTCCCACCCCAATTTTGTGCACCAGAGAGCAGAGCATTACGTTCATCTTGTTAATTAATTTGAGTCTAGAGAAACCGTCTCAAACATCTCATGACATCACAGCTCAAGTCCTACAGTTAACAGCTTTCACAGGGTTGCAGCAGGTGCAACACAAAAAGGAAGAAAAACAATCAAGGACTTATTCTACAAGGCAATTTGTAAAGCAGATTTAATACAGTATAATCAAAAGGAATACAAATAAAATGGGATAAAGGCACAAATGAAGAACAAAATACACAATCTAAATCCTCATGGTTCATACTGACATCTTGACTCTCCATATCTTGATGACTTTTTGTCCCTCATCCAAGAAGCAAGGCAATTTGTGTAGCACATTTTCAGTGACAATGCAATTATTACACATGGCAATATCAGTGTGTAATAATGCAATAGCAAATGACAGCTTGTCTCCATCATTGGATTCAGATGTATAGGGTACCATCTTTTGTCTGTTGGAAGATCTACATGTGTCCTTAATGATGCACTGAATGTCTATATTTAGTGGCTGGTGTGTAAAGACATACAGAAAGTTATGGAGACATTGTAAAAAAAATAAAAAGGATCAGAAAAATGGGGGTAATCATAAATCAGTATCACAATTTTCAGCAACAGTATTGCAATGAGATACTTTCCTGATATTGCCCAGCTCTTATACATACATATAATTGACGAACTTGAATAGTGAACTTATTTGATTCTCCTATTGTGGGAAGAAAACCATTTACTTTTAAAGTTTTACTCCAGCAAAGAGTCTTTTTCACAGCATAATACCTGACAACATAATGTGAAAATGGCTTCATAACCAGGCTATGTGTGTGTGTCTACATCCTCCAGTTCAAAAGCAAGAGTGAGTTCATTTCTGAAGCCACTTCAGGAGTGAGTCTTGAATGCTGTTGGCTTCTGTGGGGAGTTTCCTGGCCAAACCGAGTCTAGAAAGGTGAGTTACATAAGAGTCACTGCACGCTTTCAAAAGAACGGCTGTTGATTTGTATCAGTTTGATGGTTAATATCTATCTAGATAGACTGTTCCTATCTATCTGTACAGATAGATATGTAGATACATGGTCACACAGGGACACCCTCTAAAAGGAAACCAAAGCACCCTCGAGGACAGCTCAGTATAAACACTCTCATTCTATTGGTCGGAACGTTGCCAGGCAACAGTACTTTTTGTTTTGAGAGAGAGCAGAAAATGATTTGCAAGCAAGCAGAGAGGTTTGCAAGTGGAGATTTGATCCGAACAGACAAGTTTGAGGAGAAAGGTTTGAGAGAGCACAGAATATTTTAAAGAGAGCAAAAGTTTTGAGTACAAGCACTACAAAATTTGAGAAGAAAGACTAAAGTCCTACTTTCAGACTGAAAATGTGTGCACTTGAATTATGCCAGAATAATATCCCCCAAAATTGCAGTTTGGTTTTCCCCTTGAACTGGATTATATGTCTGTTTGACGGACGCATGGAGGCACTGTTGACTGGCAGCAAGAATCCTGCTCATAGTTCGCATGATCTCCCTGTGCCTGCATGGTCTCTCTCCAGGTACTCCAGTTTCTTCCCAGCCTACCTGGGATCAAATGAAACTGAATAAGAAGCTGCCAGCAATGAGAAAAAGCTGCAGAGTCACCACTATTATTTGTTGAGGTCTATATTTTCAAAGTTCAATCCAGACTGGAATCTGGAATTAGCCGCAAATCATACTGAGGTCCATGTGCTGCAAGTGTGGCCTAAAAATAAACAACAACAAAAAGACTATTAATAGTTCACACCCTTTAATATCTCAGAGATAAGGTGATTTTTAAAATGTTTTTCACCTGAGAATACATCAGGGGGCTGAAGGCTCCTCCATGTGACTTCCTGGCCAGCTGTGAGAGCAGATGGACTCGGCCCCCACCTGTCTGCACGCACACATGGACTTCTCCACAAAACATTTCTCAGTAAGGATGAGTGAAGCTATGTAAGGAATGTTTTTTTGCTGTTGTTGTTAATACCACTTGAATTGAAACTGTTAAAATTCCTATCTTAACTTATTTACGCAGGATGCTCCAAAGGATATCAGCAGTGACAGGAAGGTAGAGAATGTCAGTTTCTGTGAAGATGGCTATGTCTACGGAGATGTACTTCTTTGGCTCGGTTGTGTCACATGTGGAAAACAGCTGGACCTGCAGTTCTGCCTGCAGACCTGAGGGCACCTGCAAAGTGATTAAACTGATTTAGTTTGAAAGGAATTAAATTCAACCTGGAATTTCATCATCAAAACATGCTGAAAAAGTTGGACTGGACTTTTCAGCTGTTGTGTACAGTTGATTTTCAAACCTACAGGTCCAGGGCTGTAGATGACTCTGAGGCCTGTGGATGGAGAAGGCTGCTTCACAATGAACCTGATGGTAGCAGATTGAAAAAAAATAAATGCATACAGAATGTTATTCCTTTGGAAAATGAAGCTACACCAAAATCTGCATCTACCCGCTTGGATCCCTTGTTTTTGTTTTCGGATGATGTACCTGGATGGATCGATTCCCAAATTCTTCATTGCCACGGTAATGGTGGCGTAGGTCCCCTCTTGCTGTGTACCAAAGTCAACGCGCGATGGGTCGAGCAGGAAGCCCTTCATCTGAGCACCGGGATCAGTCAGGGTAGATATCCGACAATACCTCTTCACAGGTTCTTCCACCGTCAGGAACTGGAACAGGAGAACGTAACGTGAACAGAACAGAAGTCTGGTATCTGTCACTTTTCCCCTGTTTTATCATGTATTTTCCAGAAATATAGTGGCATTTTATAGCACGATCAAATCACTATTCAACCTTCAGTTATAAAGATGCTAATATCAATTATGAATAAAAAAAAATATGACTTGAAATTAGACCTCTGTTTCTTTAAAACATCCATTATAATGTTTATAATGATGCATTAAGACTTTTGTTAAATAAGTAAGGAGAAGAAATAAACCAATAATGGGATGATGATTTAATTTATTAGGAGAAAAAAATAATCCAAAACAATCTTACCATGGTTGAAATTATAACTGACCTAAAATCTGATTAAGACTCATATTCAACAACACCAAATTGGCCAAGACATCTCAAAAAGTAACAAATCATACCACAAAGTCACTGACATTTGACTCTGTGAAGGGTTACAAAGCCAATTTGAGGATGAGAGCCTACAACAGAGTTAATACTCTAAAATGTAACAACCATTATCCACAAATGACTAAGCCATGGAAAACGCTGGTCTGGCACACCTACTGGAATTAAAAGAGGAGCGCACTGACGACTCATTCAGGAGGTACAAACATACAGAAGTAAGGAAGTTAAGAAAGACAGAGGCTGCATAAAAGACAGACAGAAAAAGAAAAGAAAGTAATGGTGGTCTAAACCCAAAACAAAGAAACTGAAGGGATATCTTGTGAATATTTACACGTTGGTTTGGCACGCTGCGGGGTTTGGAGACACGGAGGTAGCCAGGTAGTCTGACCTTCGAACTCCTGGGTTGCCCCGTCACATCCACCTGAACTGACTTAAAGTGCCTGGATGGGCTCTTCAGACTGCTTTCACCTGTTACTAATCAAACACAAACGAAACAAAGTATGGATGCAACATATGAGGCCTCCACTTCACAGACCATGCTTTCAGAAAAGAGACTGATGCATTCTTTATCTTGATGTAGTGAAGAAAACTGAGTTTTTAACTAAAATATTTTTTTTTGCATTTAATTTATAATTTTCTTCCAGTAAAAATGAAGAGGTAATGTGTTATTATGGACTCATCAGAATATGAAACAGTAGAGAACAAACCAGGAGAATGTTTGGGGAGGTCTGAGTGCCTCCTTTCAGAAGTCCTCTCACTTTCTTCAGCTCGACTAAAAACAAAAAACAACCGTTATGAGGCTATGTGTTTTTAAACATAAAGCCAATAAAACATAAGCTCTGTTCTACCTTTCTGATGGAGGAACTTGTGTGTTATAAGGTTGTGGAGCTGCAGATACAAAAATAACTTTAAAATAGTGCACAACAAATATGTTACTGCAGATCAATTAAAACTAGTAATATGTGCTCAGGACATGATGAAGAACTCACTGCTCTGAGTTGATGCATCTTTCATATCAGGCTCCATTCCGTCCACACTGGTACTTTTCTCAGCACTGTCCACCTTGGTAGGCAGTGGAAGGTCCTGTGATGTACTCTTTATGTGGGGTCTATGGCACTGTAGCAGATTCTGGAAAAACAGGCTGCTGATCAAGTTACCTTTGGCATTAATAAGGTGATTTTGATAGAACAGTATTCTTAGAATTTGGGAAAACTAACAATAATCCCCCAATGGACAGATGATGCTGATTATCTTCATAGCTTGTGAATTGAACACTGTAAATGTTGGTCTCATGTTAAGCCTCCTACTGGAACCACTTTCGAGCGGCTGGAGACGAAACTACAACTGGTTTGTGGAATCTGAACTGTGCGATGAGCAGACCACGTTAAATATTGATAAAAAAACAAACAAAAAAAAAACTCAGTGAATAATCTTTACCCCGAGTTAGATTTCCAATGTTCAGTTTGAGGCTTCTTAGCAACGCTAAGCAAACAAGGAATGGGACAGAGTGACTCTAGTATTAGGAAATATTTGAAGTTGTAAAAATCTCCAACTTTGTGCATGTATTTCAATAATAAAACTTTGATTACAAAAACCTAAATAATAATGAATAATCACAGATAATTAATAAAAGGGAATTGTTTAATTACAATTTTGTGGCAGGATGAAAACCAAGGGTAGTTCAAAACTATGAGTTAAAATTCAATTTGTAATTGATTTAATATTGCGAAAAAAGGGGCTTGGAGCTCATGGAGCTGCACACCAAATAAATTTACCTGTATTTAAAACACTAACGAAGAAAAAAAACATAACAGCTTAAATTTTAAGTCTTGTTTGAGAAATAGCAGGGTGAAAAAACTAATCTACATACTAAGATTAAACAGTGTTTCATTCCTTGATTGCAACAGAGCTCCAACTAGCATCATACCTAAATTTACACTCATGCTGCTCTGTTTAAATTAATATTCTCTAATAATTGAACATCCTATTGAAGGGGAAAACAAACGCAATAATTATTTTTGTATAATTAGATGTAAATTCAGGTACAAAGCAGTTAAAGAGGTATATATGGATGTACTGTATAGTAATAAAACATATTGTACTTGGTAAATTTGAAAGTTTTCTGGATGGAAATAAGGAACAGAACTCTGCCTCCTCAGAGCCTCTTTGCAGGACCTCTCTTCACTCATCTCCTGTCTGAAATACATAATCAAGGAGAAAAAAAAATTAAACATAAATAAACTGCCCTGTCAGTCACATACGACTTATATCATGTTGGTTCAATAATTTCCTGCTTTCAATTCATAGCCAATGGATCCATCATCTTCATTTAATGGAACTGAAACAGTTCTATTTGAATGAACAACAGCATACAGGAAAGTACACAGTAGAAAATGTACCTGCATTTCTGGTTGTGATGACTTTCTACAGATATTCTGACCACGTATTAAAGAATGCAAATCATGACACGTCACAAATGTAACAACCAGCCACTATGAACATACAGCCAAAGCTACAGTAGTTTAAATCAAAGCAAATTGTTGAAATACCATCGTAAAATTCTGAATTAAATTAAACAGGCAATCTGTGGCAAAATGGTGGCCTGAAATTCTGGAGACAGATTTTCCTAATTAGGACAAGAAAATTGACCAATAAATGTTGATCTTTAAAAAAATGCCACAATGTTTGAGCACCCAAATCTGTATTTAATTTATTTATTTAACTGGGTTCGAGTCACAGAACACAATAAAAATTTGATTAAAATGTATATCTTACAGAAAAGTCCCACGAGAAAAAGACTTTGTAGACTATAGGACAATAGTCCTGCCACCACCAAATCTAAGACCTTTGATTAACATATTTAAGGCCAAATTATGTTTGGATAAATTTAAGACATTTTAAGGCTTTACTTACAGACACCCTGTAAAAATAGCAAAGGTTTTCATTGAAAAATTTACCCAATTCCTAGACAACAAAATCTGTTCAAGAAGAAGGGGTTTCATAGTATTCAACAGTTACTGATGGACAGAAAGGTGAGACATGAGATTAAGGTAGCCTTAATTTAGCGCTTTTGCTCTTTTTTCCAAAACAAAAAGAGCAGAAATCTTAAGTGGAAAGTTGGCAACGGAGGAAGATGGACGGCTGAGGTGAGTGAGTGCTCTGCTGTGGGCCATCAACTGCGCATACATCTAAAACTAACTGATAGTATTTAGTTTAACTACTATTCAAAGCAAAGAACCAAACAAAACAGGGAAACCGGATGTAGAGGCGCCAAGTTCAAGCAAAGAAAGCGCTAGAAGATAGTGCTAATGCTAAAGGGAAAGAGCGGACGCCGCTGAGAGGGGTTCATTAAAACCGAACCCCAACAGGCTTGGCAAGAGGAAATTCCACTAGGCGAAAAATACTTTATCTTTTCGTCGGTCGACACGACACTCTGACAAAACGCGTAGAAATGGGCGAGCGAAGGCGATCTCAGATCAGAACGGAGTGGGCTTCCAGACATCTCTTCGCATTTTACAGCGACGGCCGGGCGGGTCGACGCAGCGGACGTTTCTCTGTCCCGGAAGAAGACGCCGGTGGAAAACCGGCGCAGACTGGTCTGGCTCGAACGTTGTCATGGGAACGCGTCCACGACAACGTGAGAGCGCGTGCAGCAGTTTCAACTCAAGGCCCAGATTAAAATGACCGGAGAGTAAAGAGACTCAGACTGGAAGGATGAAAGCTGCACGGAGAGGATTAATGTCGCTTCACGGTCACCATCTGAATACACAGCCGCAAACACGGCAATCACTTCCTGTCGTCGTCGTCTTTTCCCGCCAGTAGTAACAGTTACGCATGACTCGTGAAATGAGGAAAAAGCGAATTTTGTATTGCAACAGCTTGTTTTTATTTATGCATTTTCAATTGGCGTTTCTAGTATTTAGTGAAAATACTTCTGAAAAGCGGGAATTTGGAAATGGCTCAAACCTGAACCACCCATGCATAATCAGTAGGAAATATGTCTAATGGAAAAAAATACACTCAAGACTGAAGAAAAAACACTCAAGAAAAATGGGGCAAATGGATTTGCTATAAAAATTGAATATGGACATTGGATAGACTGAATTTTGCATACCTGATGCTTCCTGCTGTTCTTGTGTGAACATAGTTTTTTTATTTCTAGACCCAGTTGTTGAGGTGCTTGTGAGGCTATATGTTTTCATAATGTAAGGACTTAAGGGAAAAAAAGAAAGATTTACAAAATTTATAAATAAAATAGTATCTGCATCTGTTTACCTGTGCAGCTCAAGTCTTTCAGTCCATCTTGACTCTTTTCTAGCAGTAGAACTGCAAGACAGAGAGGAGGCTTAAAATAATGATGGCATCCTGTGGGGGTTAGCCGCTCGTTAAACGCATACATACAGCTGTGATTTATCCAAGGCGTCATCAGCACCCAAGTTGTCAGTGTCTTCTGAAGCAATTGACTGCTCAACTGATGCTTTGATTCCCTGAATGTACAGACTGGCATAGTCCACTGAAGCTGATTTAGTTTTCATGACTGAGCTCCTGGAATCAGAATCGTGACTCTCATCGTCCAACTCTGCAAAAGACTACAAAGTGAATTCCCGGTGGCTTTTTAACACCGCATGAATAATAAATGTGGACTCTTTTTCTAAGTCCAAATTTAAAAGAAGAGATTGTCTGTACTTCTTCAGAATGCATTCAAACTAAACTGTAGGTTTGGTTGAGCTCTGTTGTGTTTTGGTACCAGAATGAGGCTGAGGAGATCTGTGGCTTGAGCAGTCTCCTCATCACTGCGAAGCTCTTTCAGTTTCATCTGCTCTGCCAGCACCTCTCTCTTTATCAGCCTCTCGATGTAGTCCTGCATTCACATTATACTGCACGTTTGTTATCTCTCTAAAAGGTTCAGACAAAGGAAGCAAGATTATTTTTGCAGGAACTTTGTGAACCTTCAGCCGTGAATCGAGAGCGTCTCTGAACGCCGTGGTGAAGGGTCGGTGCTGGGAGAGTTCCCTGATCTCCAGGACTCTCGGGCAGCTCCAGACACGCTGTTGTGCTAAAGAACTGGCGCATCTCTCCCTGTGAGTCAGAGCAACGCTGGTGCCAGAACCAAGCGGAGGGCTGATCTGGGAGAGGGAGAAACCCAGATAGATTGTGCATTTGATGCTGGCCTTGTACAATGTGTTTAGATATACGTTACCTCTGAAGTATGGAACTCATCAGAGCGATTCCTGAGGTTTGGAGGGGTGATGTCATAGTTTTGTTTCCTTAGCACCCATTTGGACCAGACGCTCTGGTGGCCCGGCTTCAGGATAGTGATGCCAAACTCATCTGGAACACACAATGAAGCAAACACTTTACACGCGGAGCTAATTTCAACTGCTTGTTGTGGTTGAAATGCAGGCAGGGTCTTAAGTGATTAGTGCATTTTTAAATGTGCACCTTGTCTGTCTGATAGAGGCTCCTTGAGCAGTGCGATGGTGGGGTCAGAGTACGCCTCTTGGAGCTCCTCCTCTACAATATGAGAGTTCAGCAGTTCAGTGCCAGAACCGTCTTCATACAGCAGAAAAATTCTGTGGCAAAAAAAAAAAAAGCATTATAAAAATGTTTATTTATGGATGGCGCTTGGGTGAAGAGTGCGACCCATAAACAAAGGTCTTAAACCTCAATGCGGCCATCATGGGTTTGTGTCCTGGCCCAACATCTTTTCCCTCTCTCACAAACCACTTTCCAATCAGACCTCTATCAAATAAAAGTCACTAGAGTTCTGAAATCTGAAGTTTTTCCTCACTGTCTGAGGTTAAATGAAACCAAACTTCTCGTTTTAGGGCAGAAAATTACACAGGTTATTTCTATTTACTAAATTCCACAATAATGAGAGAAAGAATATGTCTCAGAGACAAATTAATTGATGTCTTCGTAGATTTGTGTTTGAACTGTACGACTTCCTCAAGTTTCTGTTGATAGTTTTCAGGAGTTCTGGTCGATTTCATTACCACTTCGGCTGGTTGCTGAGGGTCTTTGTCCACATTTGTGCCTAAACTTTAACTTCTACATTATGTTCTTTCCTCATGATGCCATCTATTTAGTGAAGTGCGCCAGTTCCACTGAGTGATATCATAACATTCAGCCAGCATCTTCACAGGGGTTTGGTTTTCGTTGTGGATCAATCTGTACGATTTGGACCAAAACCAAATTCACCTATGGGACACAAAATCCGTCTCCGTCCTGATCAGGATTGTCACCATGTGTATACTTGTGCGTAATTGTTTGAACAGATGAATGCTGCACCTTCTAGCATCTGGAAGTCATTCCCCACGATGAACCAATTCTTTATCTGGTTAATATTCTGATTTCTTTTGGCCTTCCCACAGTGTCAAAAGGTTAGAGAAGTTGAAAGGAGCCAATCATGAAGCTTGTGTTAGTGGCTACCTGGGACAATAATCTTTGTGTTTTACATCAAGCGTGGTACTTGAGTTGTCGATCTTCTCTTCTTCCTCTTGTGTAGGAGTTACGGGACTTGTGCTTAGCAGCAAAGTCTGTCCATATTCTGAAACCTGCAACACAGATTGATATAATATAAACTATTTGTCATAATGAAACAGAGCTCATTGCTTTGTTCTTTTTGATGAGTATGAGTTATATTTTAGAGGCAGAAGACCTAAAAATGTGAAGATATGAAACAAATCACAACGAGCCTTTTCATTGTGCTTCAAGCACATAATTTTTAAACATCTAACACAAAAAACATTTTGAGTCACTCAGTACTGATTGATTTTAATGCCATTTCTTTGATTTGGGTAAAAATGTGTAGATGTAATGCTTCTCTTACTTGAGGACAAATGTTTTTCTTCTCTACCCATTTCTTTATTGCAGCGAATATTAATATAATGTACACAAATTAAAAGGAATATACATAAAAGTGATTATATTTCCCGTTTTAACTTGTTCTTGTATCCTTTTCCACAGTCTTAACAACATGACAATCAGGATGTTGAATTTTCTTGACAACACAGACTAATTACTTGCGAATCGGACCTGGAAGTGGTTTCCGTTCTTGTCTGAAATGTCACACACCACTTCGTCTGTGTGACTCATGGTGTAAACTCCTAGTCGGTTGGAGGGGGAGCAAGCATTTGGCTCGAGGTCAGAGGTATAAACACATTTCCCATCAGTTTGGATGTGCAGAAACCCGCCTCTAGACGGGAACACCTACAACACAGAAACAATGTCTGGGAATGACGAATGGAAGAATCTGCACTCAAACCGAAGCGTAAACAGTGAGCCGGACCTCGTACTCCGCTTGGTTGTTCCCAGTGATGATGGTTCCATCGGCTAAAAACAGGTGAGCTGCGCGGCGTTTCGGGTACATCACTACTGATGCGTTGCCCTCCTTCTCCACAATCACCACCCGCTCTCTGGTCGAGTCGTTCTCTTCTTCTTCTTCTTTTCCTTCTTCTTCTTCTTCCTCTTCACTCTTATCATTTGAAACCGTTTGGTGTAATTTGTGGGTTTCTGAGGTTTCGCTCATCCCTTCTTCTTGGTAACAAACATCTTCATGCTCCTCTGGATTGGTCACACAGTCAGGCACCTCCTCTGGAAAAAGCAACAGAGGCCGCCATGCTTGTAACATCAGTGTGGATAAACTGGGTGGTGTCAGACCGTTAAATGTGTGTGTTTTACCGTGAGGTGGTGTGACTAGAAAGAGGGTGGTGATCCTTGTTCCATCTGCATGATCAGCGATCATAGATCCATCTGGGCTCTTGACCGTAACCACCAGATCTTCCCGGGTCAGCATCACCTGACAACAGCAGGTGTAGCGAGGAGTTTCAATGAATAAAAAGCTCAGTTCATGGCTTCATTTCTTATATCAATGAAAAGGTGGTTTATAAATTTAGTTTTGTAAGTGATAATTAATTATTTTTATAACTAAAATGGTCCAGACGACTTTCTGAAGGGTTTTCAAACTTCTTCTAAACACATTAAAGGTTTGTTTTGGTTTTTTTAGATACTGGATAAGAAAACCACAAGAACCTGATTCATCACTTTGATATAAACTCACCAACCACTTTATTAGCTACACCTATTCAATTGCATATCCATGCAAATAGAATCGTTTGCACGTCTGTGTTCATACCTACATATGGAGGCAACTATGCATTTCTATGTCTCTATGTGGGGAATTCAACTTTCTAAAGTTCAAATGGGGCCTCAGAATGAGAACAAAACTGGACTAAAGTGGGTCTAAAGTGATGGAGGCAAAAAGCAGAATAGGTAGACATGTTCAAGGTATTCAGGATAACATTTCTGAATGGGAAATACTCTGAAGCGTGAAGCAGATGAGCAACAGCAGCAGAAGACTGGTGTTACTCCCGTCTGGTAAGACGGTCAGAGGTACAAACAGACTCACTGAGATTAGATAAAGACTGACATAAAAAACAAACCATCTGATTAATGCAGATTTTAGCTGCAACATTCCGTAATAGGAATTCCCAGTCGTTCCCAGACTGGGAATCATTCCCATGTTACATTTGACTCTCTGGGAATCAGGTGCCGATATACTGATGGTTTGAAAATATTTCAAAGGTACTTTGTGAATTTTTAACATTCCAGAGATTAAGTAGTTGTCTAATGGTAATAAATGCCAGCACATAAATGCTCTGTTTTTGGTCTCACAAAGTGAATATGAAGTAAAAAAAGTTACTCCTTAACATCGTAAATTTTTTTAGACAATAATGGATTAATTTACTTCTTATGTTAAGAAAACCACACTCATAACATTTCTTCTACTTAAAACTGAAGTTTGTAACTTGATCTGAAGTAACTCGCCTCCTGGGTGACGGGGTCTGTGGCCAGGAAGGTGCACAGAGAGGTTGTGGGTACGACGCTGTTTGTTGGTCCAGTGGTCCAAATCCGATCTCCAGTTGAAGTGGTCGTCTGCCACGATCGTTTCTGAGGCTCATCCTTCTTCTCTGAGGTCTCTGCTCACAAACAAAAACAAGCTTGACAAAGTTTATTTTGTAAGTGATGCTAAAGCTTCTCATGAAGAAGTCCAACCTGTCTTCTCTTGATCAGGCACCAACACTGGAGCTGGGCTGAAACTGACCGATCCATCTGCAAACAGCACCTACAACACAGACAGAAGCAGATTGGGATTTATGTTTATGTTGTCATCTGGTGGCGATCTGATATCAATCTGAAGAAAAAAATTAGACTTAATGTCTCTTCGAGCTTTGACAACATGCAGGTGACCATCTTTGTTACGCCGGGTTGAAGACCTGGCAGCGTCACAGTGTGCGTACCTCTGCGGCGCCGTCTCTCAGGTAACGAATCACGACTCCCTGGTTGGTAATGATGCGATACAGCTCCTGAGACAGGGATTTGTCCGGCAGACTCTGCCCAGGCTTACAGTGGAAGGGAAAGCTCTGCCTGATCAACACGCCATATTCAGACGACTCTCCTGCAAACAAAGCAGTTCCAGGAAGAACCTTCATTTGGTAAATATTAACCTTCTAGAAACAACTGACATGTTACCATAGTGAAGACAGAGCAAAAATATTCATGTTTATTTTAGATTTTTAGTTGCATAATCCAGACTTTGATTAGGCCATTTTAACACTCTGATATAAAATATTCCAGTCTCTGGCTGTATGTTTAGCGCCTCAATTCTCTAATATAAACTTTCAATGGGTAATCCTGCATATATATATTTGTTATTTTTCTAGAAATAGTAAATGCTTTTTTGCTTTCTTTTAAATTTTATAAAAAGCAGAACGACAAATATCCAGGCATCTTTACTCAAACCAGATCTGCGTGCCACCGAAATCTCCAATGTCTGCTAATCGACTTTTATTAAACACGGCTAATTATGGAAAGCGTTTTAAAAGAGCGACCCAAATTCTCGTCTTGATGCTGAGGATAAACATTTCATCTTCTAAACCACGAAAACAAATCAAAAGTATTCTTCCTAACAAAAACCAGAAAACTGTTCACTTCTCTTTTGAAAAGGCAAACCTAAGAAACCATTTTTCTCTGCAATGATTCACAGGTCCTTTATCCACAAATATTTGACCACTTTGTTTCACTAAAATATTGCATGTTTAGTTTATTGTTACGCAAATTAACTAAAAAATAACAAAATATTTTGGGTTTTTAATTAAATCATCTTTGTTTCAATTTGATTTTTGGCCCACAAATCAAATAGGTTTAATTTAGGTGGAGAGTTTTTTTTGGCAGGTTTACAGTTTTACATTTCTAGGTAAAGTTCATCAATAGGGCATCTGACTTTTTTTTTTTTTTTTTTACCAAATTCAATTTCCGGTTTTGATAAAAATATTATTTGTTAACAGCATACACAGGCATACTTTTATTTACTATTCAGGCAACTTTTGAAAGCTTTTGTTTGCACTGGATTACTTAAAAGTGATGAACACAAATTGATGTCAGATAAACACATTTTTAAACGTCTATCAAATAAAATACAATAAAGTTTGCGGTTGTAAAGTAGCAAAATGTTGGGAAAACTTCAATGGGTATTAATATTTTTGCAACAAAAAAAAAAAGGTTTTCTTCCAAAGTAAAAAATGAGAGGCGTTGAAGCGGAGACGCGGCTAATTGAACAGCTTGCGAGTTGCCGTAGTTCACCTCCGGCTCAGACTGACCTTGTGTGTAGTCAAGCTGAAACTGCACCAGCAGGCCGTTGGGAACGGAAAGGCTGAGGCTGTTGAACGGAGGCGGGGGCTGAGGCGGCTGAGGCAGCGGAGGCGACGGCTCAGCTGGCGGCTCAGCTGGCGGCTCTGCAGACTTCTTAAAACATATCAGCAATTAGTGAACCACAGCAAAACATCTTAGAGTTTCATATCAAAGCTTTTACATTTCATATCAGTGTTTTTACGTTTTATATCTGTGTTTAGTGATTGGGACAGGAAGCCTTACCTGAAAGGACTGCCTCGATGTCCTGGAGCCAGACCTGGGAGAAGGAAAAGCAACGGGTTCTTCTGGGGAGGCTTTTGGGATTTCCTCCTTAGCTGGCTCCTCCTCAAGAATCTCTAAAACTCAAAATAAATACGATTTTCTGTTTCACACAAAAAAATTACATAGTCCATGATAAATATTTAGAGCGCCAATTTGGAACAGTTCAGGTGGTCCAACTCAAACAAGAGAATATGTTATTATCCGAGTTATTATGTAATAAACCTTTGTATTGTCCTGTTGCGCCATAGAAACTGTATGACAGGTGGATTTGACTGCGAAGGACTGCTGAGAAGGAGCACAGCTTCACTGTTTCTGGCTCTAAAACTGAGACACAATAAAAGAGGGGGTTTTCATTCATATTAATACAAATACATTAAGGCAAGAACAGATCCAAAGGGCATAGACTTAATTCATAAAGGCTTTTTAACCCTTCCAGATCGAATTGATCTGTGACGATCCAGCCAAATTTGCAGTACCGTAATTCTGTCACACTTTGCGCTATTTGAAAAATAGTTTCTGAAAGGGGAGACGTTGCGCTTTCTGGCCAATATCAAGTTATTACGGTAATTTCACCATCGCTGTAGCAGGAAGTGAAATTAATCTGAGGGGCGCTCTTTTAATAGACGGTAAATTGCAAAAATAACTTGCTCGATATTGAAACTTCCAGTTGTTTTGGATAAATGGGCAAATCTATATTTACTCACAGGACATTTAAAGAACAGCATTCAGTTAAAATGAGCAAAATATTCAAAAAGTTAGATCTGATAGAGCTAATAATGAACTATAATCGTTATTTTCCCAAGGTGGAATAATTACATAACAGATAACCATTCAACCTTGTAAGAAGAGTGATTCAAATAAATCAATTAGTAAATCTATCAACCTAATAAAACAATAAAGTCATGAATATATTGAGTTTATGTAAACATCTGACGAGATGCTATCACATTACCTTTTACTCCATCCTTTAGCTCCATGTTCTTTTTGTCCTGCGGCTCGCTGGGAGGTTTTGGGCGTTTGTTGACAACATGGTTGACGTGTGTGTAGAAATGGTGCCCGTCCTTCCTCAACGCTACTTTCATTAGGGTAGAACCTGGAGATGGAATCTCGTTTACCTCAGGTGAGGGCCGAGGAACGCCAGTGCAAACTACCAAATACACTTTAAACAAGCAAATGTGTGAGAAGCTCTCGGTCGCAGATTGAGTTTAATCATCTATACCTTCGACAAAGCTCACGTTCTCCACAGTGACGCGTCCTCCATCTGAGGTGTACATTTGCTGGACACATCCCGACACGTGGATCAGCTGTCCGTCCATGCTGTAGCCGATGAATCTCTACGGCAACAAAAATAAACAAACACCTATTTATCAGCTGGAGGAGGACAGGGCGCCTTCATGTTTTATCATTTCTATTTTTCTGTGTGTCTCTTCACATTGTCCGGTTCCCGTGTCTGAAGGTCTCCCTTTTCGCCATCAGAAGATGCCAAGGAAATGGCAGAATCGATGTGGGACTTGGCTGAGCTGCCTCTTTTATCTGCTTTCTCCTTCTTGTCACCAGCCGGAGTTTTGCCTTTCTTGTCAGCTGGAGTTTTGCCTTTCTTGTCAGCCGAAGCTTTGCCTTTCTTGTCAGATTTGTCACCGCCTTTCCCCTTAGCATCCTTCTTTGATTTTTTGTCCAACTCCTCTTTCTTCAGTCGCTCCTGCTCCAGTTTCCAGGCCTGTGAGGCAACACGAACCATAACTTCAAAGGAGTAGTGAAGCTTCTGCTTGGGAATGTGAAATAGAGCCATGTGTATTTTTGACTAAAATAAATAATTTGCAGACTGGCATGTCAATGAAGGAGAAGGTATTACAGTTTATAGAATATTCTTTGCAGATGAAACGTTTTGTAAAATCTGAAAATAGCTTCAGTACCTTGTAAAAGTACTGACACCTGTTTACATGTACCTCACCTAAAATATAAAGCACACTAATTACTTTCTGGCATCAAAGAAGATGATTATATCGGATCATGTGTGTTAGTATTGTGAATGTTTTTATGTAGTTGTGTGGACATTTTGAGCACCCACTCAAAGGAAAAATATCATTTGTGAAATTTTCTTTGGGCTTTTACCAGATATAAACTCAGGTGTTTAGGTTTAGGGAAAATATGTTGGTTCAGATTTAGAAATTAATGAAAGTAAAGCAAGTTCACACAAGTATAGTGAGACACGACTATATTTCTGAGAAAGAGTGAAAAAGAGTGAAAATGAAAAGCTGTTAGAATGATGAGAGTATAAAGCCTGCAACACTCAAGCAGCTACTGTTCACACTCCCTTAACTAGTCAAACATGGTGATGGCAGCATCATGCTGCGGGGTTGCTTTTCATCAGTGTCGACACTGAAGCTGATCAGAAAGAAAGGCACTGAAAGACTTGCAACTGCAGCTAAAAGTTGGTTCTAAGTATTCACGCTGTTGACAAAAAGGGGTCATAAGAACTCCACACTTTTCAGATATTTTCTTGTTTAATAACAAAACTTCTATTTCCCAAATAACTTATCATAAAATAATGCAGTTTGCCGTTTCAACTAGGGAAAAAAATGAGAAAAAATGAAAGGGCTGTGAATACTTTTGCAAGTAACCAACAATAATTCTTCATTTACATCGTTTCATATCATACCAGCTCCCCTTCCTGCACTCCTCACCAGAAATTGTCGCTCTTTTACTCTAAACTCCATTTCAAACCTTGTAGATCAGACAACTGGGATTTAATTATGGAAGCTGATACATCTGCAGTGCTGCTAAGGGCGACCTTGTTTGTGGGACATTAAAGTCACATAATGAAAAGATGTGCTGGTAATGATGGACTGGCTTTGCACTGCCGGCTCTGGTTAATTACATGCTACTGTAACTGAGTAATTGTGTGGCCCGTGTGTGAGTTCAGTGTTGAGTTAGAGGAAACCGACTTTGAGGGAGTCCTTTGTGATGACTGGTTCCTGAGATTCTTCCGCCGCCGGGGGGCATTCAAGGTCTATAGGGAATAAAACAAATGCAGGTTTCACAACGCATTTATACTCAGGTTATGCACGTTACACCATAGATCCCTAAAAACATAACTTGATATTTTTATCTCCTATGGCAAATGGATTAAAAAGTACAGTGAAAATAATAATATTACTGATTTATTCTGCCTGTTTACAACCAAATAAATTGCTGCAATCGCTAAACTAAAGTCCAGGCCTAGAAATGTGAATTTGATTTTAAATTTTCTGACTTTCAGGTAAAAAAAGTCAAATCTTTAAGTTCTTCAATTACAAGGTTGTACGGAAAACCTTTTCTACAAAATATGAACAAACGTTTTGGCCTGTACAACTCAAGATAAGATTCAGAAAATATGCTACAATAAATATTAAATTAACCAAATTATAAATAAACAAACCGAACAATTTAAATAAATCAATACAGAAAAGGAAAATATTGTAAATATGACAATATAATTTGATCCTTGGCACAAACAGTCAGTAGAAATTGTGAGTTTTTGATTCATAAAATTTGCACCAACTTAAATCTATCGCCACTTATGGTAGCAAAGTGAAACTATCACATGACTTTATGTTCAACTGAGCTTCAATCCCCATTACAGCCAGTCACTGAGGACTGAATGAGGATTCAATGCAGCAAATTGAAATACAGATGCTGATTTAAGTCTTCATAGCAGCTTATTCATTTACTCAACACAGACTTTTCTGAAACCAACACATTACCTTTTGGAGTCTCAGGAGGCATCTGGCTTTTCTTCAGCATTTCCTCCCTCTTTACCTCCTCCTCCATTGTCCAGTTGTAGATTTTTTCAGCAACATGCTCCAGATATTTTCTACGGTAAACATCAGGGGAATCATATTTACCTGCAGATCTGGAGGAATGTCAGCTTCACCTGACATAGTCGCTACAAGTTTTTATTCCTGAACTGAACGCTTTTGCATACTCAATACTCTTACTCTGTTCTTTTGGTTGGTAAGTATTTATTTCCAATCATTCTGATTGGGAAACAACAAAACAGCGTCCAGTGAAGGAGGAAGTACTGACCTGAACTTGACATCAGTGTGGAGGGCCTCATCCCAGAAATGTTTGGACAGGCCGTGAGAATTCATAGGATTGTGGCAAAAAACATATAAGATGTTTGCATAGCTTTCTCTGAAGATATCCATGCAACAATATTCCTCTGAGGCCTTTTGCAGAACCTAATCAAGAGAACGTGGAAAGCTCAAATCCAATTTCTTTTTGAAGAAAATTTTAGAAAACTACGCACATTTAGAGAGAAAACAGATAATGCACAAAGATAAAAGCAAGTTTTTAAACAACTTCAATGACTACCTGGATTCTCTGTTTCTGCTTCACTGATTTTTTATGAAATCAGTGAAGCAGAAACAGAGATGTTCAATATTGTTTTAATTAAAGAGTCAGAAACAAAAACCACCTGTGGAAAAACAGTGGCACTGTGATGTTCTGTATAGTACCAGTCAAACAGACATCTTTGTCTCCAATTCTGGATTTCACATAAATCCAGTCGGCTGCAGATTTCCCTATTCAGGTGCTAGAGAACAAAAAATACCCGCAAATAAATCAATGGCAATCTTTAAATTAATATTTTCTTTCAAATAAAACATTCAAAACCAGGGATGGAAATTAGCATCCGCCACTCGCCAAATGCGGGGAAAAGTGTGAAGTATGACGAACATTAGGCTTATCCAATGAAATCCCTCAGTTCTCTCTGGTCCGCACTACAACCCTGTTAAGGTGTTCATGCTTTATGTTAAATTATTCTGTATATGTGCATCTGTATGGTATACTTATTGTCAGTACATTGGTTTTCACAGTTAAGAATAAATCATAACATTTTCTATAATTTGTTTATACTTGTGGAGTTTGTAACTGAAAAAAAAAAAGCAGTGGCTGGTGAAATGTCTGAGTGGTAAAAAAATTTTCTCTACGAGCCACTGTGGCTGGTGGAGAAAATGTTTAATTTCCACCCCTGTTCAAAACTGATGTGGCAGCAGAAATAATGTGTAAACAATACCTCTGAGTTTCCAGGGTCTTCAGTGAGAAATGTTGACTCTATAGAGAAGTGACAGTATGAGGTACGTAGGTGAAATCTGGCGTCTCTGACCGATTTAACATGCTTACATACCGCCAGTCTGCGAGGTTTGAAGCCTCTGTTTAGCATATAACAAAGGATTTCCCCAGGGGATAATTTTTTGTGTCTGCTGTGGTTCATTATGGTTCAGTAAAACACCCAGCTGATCCACCGTGGTCAGTGGCATAGCCTCAAACACGCTCTGATCAAACAGCCGCTCCACCTCGGACCAGGGCATGCCCTCTATAGGAGATTATTACGTTAAGAAACTGTGAGACATGTAGAGAAAACAGGGAACAGATATACTAATTTGCAACAGGTTTGGTGTGCTCCGTTCTGACCATCTGTGCAATAGTGCTGCAGCTGTTGTTTCATTCCCCTCCAGCGGGTGTCACCATTTCTCTTTTCAGCGACGGACTGAATGAGCTTTGAGACTGGACTCGTCTTCAAAAGGGTTGTCTCTGTCTCAGCTGGATTACATCCCTTAGTCACCTGCATGGGTCACACACATGAAGATGAACACACAGCCAGCATATCTCTAAGTTGTAGAATGAACAATATATATGAGCACAAATTTTAGTGGTGAGTAAGGAGCTGATAACTGACTTAAGAGACAAAATCGTGCATGTAGAATCAGGTATGCAAACACTTCAAACATGGAATTAACAGTTTGAGAATAAACCCTCACAGTGATGTTCTGTAATCGTATTCCCCTCTCGTCGTGGTATCTGAAAAGCACAGGGTCGCCAGGCCTCTGAGCATGCGCTGTCCCATAATTCCCCTTCAGTCTCTAACGCAGAAGACAGCAGAAAGTAGCAATATTAGAAAGAACTATGTTCGTGCAGATTATCACAGAAGAACATACAAGAATACTCTCTTTAAATTTAAGAGTTTTATGTATTTTAAGCATCCTGTTTCGTTTTCAGGGGTAGGGATTGTGCACTGAGTTCTTCTCTGACTTTTAACCTTTATTTGACAAGAATTAATGACTGAAATTAGTTGATGTGTGGAAAAGACCTTGAATTTACAGAGGGGGCATCCATCATAAACCCTTATACTGGAAAGCATTGTGCAGTTACTGGTTTCACAGTATATCAAGGCTTTAAGGGACTATGGTTTCAAAACTCCTAAATTAAACACTGCTGCTCAACTGGCTGAAAGAAGGTATGTATTTTGTTCTCTCTTTACAAGGAAGATAACTATTTAAAAAGCACAATTTTTAAAAGGTTGTTTGGAAATAGAATGAGTGTCATTTAGTGAACTAAGTCATGGCATGCAAGCTAAAGGAGTGTCACCATCACTCCTATTCAGATGTTACTGATTATAACTAAAGTTGGCAGCTATGAGTCTATGATATCTTTTAGGCAACCAACTGCAAGCTGGTAATCAGAGCAGACATCCCCATTAACCAGCTAACATTGACCTGCAGAACAGTAAAAATGTTTTATATCCAATGTCAATATACTAATACTGAGCATATCATTAGCAATGTTAGCATAACATCACTAACATTGTTATGCTGACAACAATGTCAGCATAACATTACGTGTTATGTTAGCATAACTTCCACCAATGTTGTGCAAACATACATGATCATATGGTATTATTAGCAAATTGACACTGCTGGTATATTGACTATTGCTGCAATGCAATGTTAACATTGCTATGCTAATGTTAGCATTTTAGTTAATTATTATACAAAAGCTCAGCTTAGTATACCGAGTAGAGTGAGTAAATGTTAGTCAGTATGAAAGTAACACCTCAACCTACTGACAGGATTTTGGCTAACCCTACAGTCAGTCATTATTAGCTTGCAAAGAGCTTTTTAGCTAACCTGGACATTTTAGCCAATTTTAGCTTATCAACTAATGTTTGCTTAGTAAACAGTGTAGGACAACATTAGTCAGCATGCTCATGATAGCCCACACGCTATTGACAGCCTTTCAGCAAACTCTAGCATACTCAAGAAAGTGAGTCAATATTTGTTTACATGCTAGTGATAGCCTATATGGTAATAGCAGCATTTAAGCTGCTATTACCATATACCATACATTACCTTTTTAGTTAATTTAGATATAAAAACTAAACTTTAAAAACTGAATGTCTTAAGGCCGTGTTAGTGAATATGCTGGGAATAGCTCACAAGTTATGGGCAGCATTTTAGCTAACCTAAGCATTTCAGCTAAAATAATTGTACTAAAAACAGTCTAAATGCTATTAAAAGCATTTTCATTAACTTTAGTATTTGATGATCTCCCTATTTTCAAATCTCTGTTGTTCTGGGATCAGCACTGCAGCTGATCACAACTCAACGCAGGAATTTCTCTCCTTTTGTTTTTTACTTCTTTAAACTGCTAATTTGTCTAATGTTTTGTCTTTTTAAATGGTGCAGTCAGTTTTGACTGATTTGTGAGAACACTTAATAAAAAAGAAAATGTATGTTCAGGCAAGGTTTGAAGTGGCTTCACGCTTCAAGATAAAAAAAACAAAGGAAAGAAAGCAGCCGAGTCTGCTCATATAAGTGTCTGATCCTCCCCCGACGCTGACGTCAGAGCGGATGTGCTTCGTGTATGATGCTTCAGCGGCTCTAAAAGCAGCAAACAACATTGGCTGTGCTTAGTCGGTCCTGCCCACTGAAATATGAGACGCCTTCTCTAAAGACCACAATTTAAAAAGCATTTGCTGCATTGGCCGGGAATCGAACCCGGGCCTCCCGCGTGGCAGGCGAGAATTCTACCACTGAACCACCAATGCTGCTGATAATGTAGCTTTGCCTACATGGAGGTTTCAACACACTGATGTGTCTGTTTGCTATCACTGTACCTCCTTGTCTTCTTCCTTTTCCACAGTAGTGAGGACCTCATCTAACAGATGACGTTTCTCTTCTTCTGTGTTCAGCAGAGGCAGGAAGCTTTGGAGCATATAACTAACCAGATCACAATTTAACCAGGGACCCTTGGCAGTTTTCTCCTCTTCCTCAGAGGGAAACAGAGGAAGCACAGGCACCTCTGAGGAAACCACCACCTGAACGGAAATGTATGTGCAAGAAAAAAAGTTTATGCCACAATAAATAAGGAGGTAACCGGGAAATTTTTCATGTTAAAAAAAAAAAAAATTAACATTCAATCTAAAGATGTAGGGTGACATTGCACACCTACCTGCTCCAGCATACAGTGCAATATCAGCGGTACAGAACAGGCTTCCGGGGGAACCATGTCCAACAGCTTGTGATAGTAACACATGTCCACGTTCAGAGATACAGTTGGAGGCAACTTGATTTCTGTACACAAAGGAGACAGATTTTAGAAAAAGAAGATCTTACCAGCAGGGTATGTCAAAAAAGTAAGCCAGTATATGAATGAACAGTGGACAGATAAGTTAGGAATAGATAGATTTAACCTATAGGTAGTAAGCTAGATGCTTTGGTTTTCCTTTTAGAGCGAGGGATCTGTTGAGTAGGCTCAGGATGTGCCTGGAAACACACAAGGTGCAGCTTTAATTAACTGGAAACAGAAAACAGACTAACTCGATTCAGCAGATAGGAGGATCTTTGATATAAATTTAACAAGAGACAATTGTGTGATGCGCCATCCACGATGGAGTACTGCCAACAGCCCATGGATGCAGATTGCTCTGTGGCTTTGCTACTAAGGCAGATCAATAAGAAATTATCTGCAGAACTCAGCAGGATCTCCTGCATCAGTAAATAATGTATAGTTCTCCATATTCAGCACAGAGCAGAGTGGCGCAGCGGAAGCGTGCTGGGCCCATAACCCAGAGGTCGATGGATCGAAACCATCCTCTGCTAACAGCATTTTAGTGACTCTAATCTTAAAAAGTTTCATCAATGTTTGGCTTGAATCAGACTTAAGCTACAGGAAAGCAGAAAAATGTGTTTTTAACGTATATACGCAAGTTTCAGCCATAGGTTTGGAACAGAAATATCCATCATTGTACCACAGTAGGAAAATTCAGATTCTACAGCAACGTCAAAGGTACGTAGGTTCCCACAAAAAAAAATTTTTAGCTGCTATTGATATATGAAAAACAAGATTAATAATAATAGCAATAGTGCATAAGACAGTAAAAATATCAAGCAGTTAGATATACATCTTTCAATCAGATGTGGTTGAGATCAAACCTCTTTTCATGTGTGCCAGGGATCATTTTACATTTGGAACATCAAACCATCGATCAATCAGAATATTCTGAAAAACACAGCTTTATATGCTAGCTATTAGCTTTACCTCTACAGACTGTGCGTCCTCTGTTACAGCTGTGGGTATAGAGAGGAGCCGGACATTGTCTCTGTAGTGCTGATGCTGCCGGCGCCACTGCAGACAGTCATAGATGAGCCTGGCAACGTCGTCAAACATCCGGTTTCCCAGCTCCACCTGAATGCAAAAGACAGACATGCAACATTAAGCAGCTGCAAACATTTGCAGAGAGAAAAAAAAAAGTATTAAAATGCGTAAAAGCCATAATAACAACAAAAATGTTCAGACTCTGCTCACCAGAGACTGAGGGTCCGGTATTTCAAACGGGAGTGTGAGATCTGGAACGACGTAGTTCAGCTGAATCACGTCATGGAGCTTAGAGTCTGGTGGGCCGCTGTCTAAGACCGACCTCAGGTGAGTCCAGAACAGGTTGAGCTTTCTGGTACTTTCTGGAACCTCTGAACACCAGAGAAAACAGAAACATCAGAACACGTTATAATAGATTCATATTTCTGGTCTGTAGGAGACTTTCAACCTGCAGGCACAGCTGGAGAACTCTGCTCCTCTTCCTCCTGATCGTTCAGCTCTACTGGTTCTGGAGAGAGTTCTTTGTGCTTGGAGCATAACTTGATGACATTCGCAACATGAACACCGATGGTATTAAGCAGTGCTATCAGGTTTGGGTGGTAGAAGCCGACTATCAGAATATAGTGTTGGGGGCCATCCTTTGGCTCATCATCTGAGGACAAAACAGGAAGATGTTTTTGGCTCTAAAACTTGTTAGAGTAGAGCATTAATAACACCATCTCCCTGACGAGAGCCAGGTAAATGTGAAAGAAAGGGGAAAAAAAACAAGAAATGAAGAAACGAGGGACATAAGGAAGGCAGGAAATGAGATGGGAAGCAACCTACGAAGGACATAGAAGGACATATAAAAGGAGGATCATAATATTTAGACAATGGCATAGATAATAAAGCCAGGAATTGTAAATATATTGTCATAGCCTATTTCTCTCTGCTGAAGTCAAATTTCAGACTTTTTAAGTGTGTCTAGACACACTGTGATCACTAGAATAATATGCTACAGAAAAAATTGAAATAAGAAATAAACTCAAATCAAGATAAATGGGTAGAGTTCCTGACAGGACTTTTCTTTACCTATATATATGGGCGTCTCAGCCTCGCCCCTGCGTTTGAGCTTGGTTTTCTTGTCCTTGGAGGGGTCTGCACTAGCGGCCTGGCCCTTTCCTGGGGTCGGACCCTTTCCTTTTTTCTCTTTTTTGTCTTTTTGTTTGCCCTTGCCATCAGACTGAGGTTGAGTCTTTTCTTTTTGTGCTGCACTTTTCAGCTGAAATTGACAAAAAACATTAAAACTAACCATTGGTAGACAATGTGAGCTCTAAAGTCATTCTGTGCAGTTAAATCCCACTCTTTGTGAACAAACTAAAGAATTACCACACACAGAATGAGATTTATAGCGAAACATTTACCTGCTCAACTTCCCGTCTCTTCTGATCACTGGCTTTAATTTCCAGCAGCTGGAATTTCAGTAATTTTGCCACCAGATCGATGGGAATTTCTTCTCCGGCATCCAGTAACGTCTTAGCAGGCTCAGTACACTAATTAATGTACACAAGCACGCAAATACACAGATATTTTTAGAAACGAAAACTAAGATGCAATGGATCTAAGTAAATATGAAGGCTGGACAATATCTGGAAAACATGCAATGCAATGCCCCCCTCAAAACTTAATGACTTTAGACATCTTGGTCTGCAACATGGAAGAATTAAAAGCCCGTCCACCAGCCCAAATATCTGCCAAATATTACAACCAAGCAGTTATTTACGATCATAATGTTTCACATCAGATGATGTGATGGTGATTCAATATATTGTGCAACTATTGCACTAAAGCCTCCAACATCCCAAACCTACCTCATAAAACAAGGGAAGATCTGGCCTTTTTGCTTTGGGATTCCCCAGCTTATTGATCTGTGAGGAGATTGATCAATCAGAAGCAGCAACAATGCAGTAGATGCCATCTACATGTTTGGAAGTGACACCATAAATTTAAAAAATTACTCACAAACTTAGATTTGTAGGTTTTTTGCTTTGGTCAGATGAGAGTAAAATTTAATTTTTCTGCATTAAATACTTTAAGAGGATTTACCCCAGTGTATTATAAGCCTGGCGGGCCACCAGGCTAAGCATTGCTTATATATTTAAGTCTTTTTAAAATGTTGGCATTTTTAAAGATTGTATAATTGGTGTTCAGGTGTTAATCTTACAGTTTTTCAGTATCACATAATTATCAAGTAATATTTTCAAATTTCCTGTCAAAAAATTTTTTAAATCAAAAATATGACGGCCGCATTAACGACTGCCTTGATAAAGTGTATTTTTGGTCCATGCTGAAATTTCCGGTTAGCCAAATATGCCTAACATTTTTTAAAATTATTTCATAAACAGCATGGCTTTCACTTTCTTTCTTTTTTTCAGATAATAAGATCAACAGGTACCTTTTCCACTGTGCTGTCCCACGATATGAGGGAAAAAAGTTTGCGCTGTGGACGTTCAAAACTCAAAACCAGAGACTTGACGAGCTCTTCCTCTTCTTCTGGACCATCTCCAACCACCAGAGACACACAAGCAAGCCAAGTGTCCTGTAGAGGTCATGACACCGTTTAATTGAAGAACCGCCATTGCTGCTCATTAGGCTGTCACGGGATTTAAGGCTGAAGCAGAAACGTTTAATACATAAAATGTGTTACTTAAGGCGCACTAAGTAGCAAAGAAGCTCAAAACGTCCTTAAACTAAAAAAAAAGCAACAAGATAAAAATTACAATTTCAACTGGCTACAGTAAGTTTAGCTGTACCAAATTTCCTGACGAACTCAACTTCTTTTTTTATCGGGGTGGGAAGCGGCGTATAGATGTGCATTACCGCCATCTACTGGAATGGAGTGTAATATTTATAACAAATGAATGAATGAATAAATAAATAAACTAATGAATGAATAACTAAACGAATGAATGAATGAATAAATAAATAAATAAATAAAACTTCCGGTTGTCGATCACCTTTCAAAGTAAAAGCTTAAAGGTAATCCTCAATAAATTCGACAGTTGATGCTCTATGCCACCTCAAAGATGGTGGCACAGAACTATCTCAACATGGCGATGATGATATACAAGTATCCAGAACTCAAAGAGGAGTAGACGAAATGACAAACCTCGAACTGCGCTTTGCTGAGATCAGCTTCCCAGTTCTTGTTGAAAGGTTGAACAGGAGAACTTTTCTTACCAGAGCCTTTTTTACCTGCCGGCGGCATTTTTGAAAGCGTATGGGGAATAAAATTAACACACAAAAAAACACGCTAAAAATCAGGTTTAAGAAGTTAAAACTATGAAGTTTTCATGTAGAATGTTTGCGTTGTCCTTAGCAACCAGGTCACCGTTGAGCACAGCTCTTAAAGGAGCCGCACCTCATTTAATAGAACCGTGAAAGCTTTACTTTCAAGCTAAATTATAGAAAAGAAAGCCAATTACGTTATTTGCAGTTTGCTCTGTTAGACACAATTCTAAGTTAATTATTCCTGCTTATTTGCACTGGCCATTCTTGCTCTGTATGTCTGACACACAGAAAGTTAAGATTGTTTTCTATATGAAATGTAGTATCTCCTACCTACTAATTGTTCTAAAGTAACAGTAGCGGTACTTACACATATTTTTATTCATTTAAAATAATGTGACGTCAAGTGACGTATGTCTTAAAAAGGTAACTCAAGCAAATCATAAAAGCTAAAGTCTGGAGCAACTTCTGGCATTATAGACTGAAATGATAAAACCTACATAGATAACATAGCTGCAAAATACATCTTAAGCAGAATATACACTTTTCATAATGATAACAAAGCTTGTGTATAAAGTCAGGTGTATTTTTGGTTAAAGCATATCATAACTCGGAAAGTTGTGACATTTCATAATAAAGTTGCTCAAGTGAAAGTAAAAAGTATGGTGGAGTAAAACTACTACATTTCTATTTTAAAATATATACAATAATTCAATCTCTAATCTGTGATTTATTCCAAATTTTAATTTGGAAATGTTTTATTCAATGTTGTCCACAAGATGGCAGTAGCAGGCATACCTAATCCTTTCGTCATTTCAGTATCAGGTGTGTAAAACCTAAAAACTCCAGCATACACACAGCTATAATAAATGCTCATTAAAATGTAAGTAAATGTAATTAATATTCTGACACATGCTTTGCTTGATATCTACGTGAGAACCAATGACAGTGGGTATTTTAAGAATACAAACTCAGGGCGCATACACTGTGATACCTGAAAAATAAAGATATTCTTCCATCTGATGAGTCAATGCAAGGAGAGGGAAGATATTTACATCTAATGCAGCAGGGAAGTGCTGTAATGGAAATAAAGCTGAATGTGCACTTTTTTATTTAGATAAACAGAACGTTTTGAATGGTAATTAAACTCATCATCGACTGGAATGCAATTAAAGACACTTCACTGAATTTATGATAACGGAGAGTTAAGCATTTCAGGCCACTTTGGTGCACCCACACACTATTAACAATCATTAAAAGGATTCACAGTGCTTTTGAAATGGCGTTGCAGCACTTCTTTCTTTTTATTTTGTAGATTTTCTGAGTGAAGCACTGGACAAAATTAGTGCCAAAGATTCAATTCCACCTTTAAGAAAATCCGACCTAAAAAGGCGTAAGTGCACTCAGCTCAATGTTCTCTCTCTGGTTATTGTGTCCTATCACAGTGACTCTCTGCGCTATCTTCCTTGTTTCCCATTAAATTTCATTCAATGTCCTCCGAACAGTTTCACCAGCGTACTTTGCTGTGTGGGTGTTTCTTTTCACAACCCACTCCCAACAGAGGCCCATAAAAGCACAAAAGCAAGACAACGCCCACCTGTTAGATGCCAGAGAAATTCATCTTTCACGCCAGCAGTTCATTGCTTACGGAGGCAGTGCCCTGTGAAGGTCAAACAGCAGCGACACAGAGTGACACTCTGTTCTGGCTGTGTGGTGCATGGCAACGTCTCAAAATATCCATAGTTCTTTTAGGGATAGGCTGCAGTGAAACCCGTGCATCATGTGCCTGTTAGGGATATTTTATTTCACTCTACAGCATTCATGATGGTTTATTAAAGATCTGCACCCACTTGATACTTAAAATGATGAAGCATATCTGAGTTGATATAATCTGATCAGGTGCTGTGCATCACAGTGTCAAACCAGAACAGCAAGTCATGATGTTCTTTTTCAAACATACTACAAGTATGGGTCGATGTTGTTTTGACAAGCTAAACATAGTTCATGTCAAGCATCTCACAAACTATTTGGCAAAAGTTTGAAGGGCTTTACTTATCAAAACTTCACAAACATGATGTGGTAGTTCTAGAACTACAGCTCTGGAAAAAATTAAGAGACCATTAAAAACAGTGTCTCTGATTTTACTTTGTATAGGTATATGTTTAAGTAAAATGAACATTCTTCTTTTATTCCATGAACTACTGACAACAAGCAAAAATTTAGGGCAACAGCGCATTTGAAAGGATATACATAAGATAATACCGCCATAAATATAAAGGAGACCTCATAAATTTTAATTTGCATTAAAAGTGCATTAAAAGTATCAACTAAGCATTATTTGTGAAATAATAACTTTTTCATGCAAAGTTGCAATAAAAATTACATTAGAAGCCAATTAAAAGTGTCAACTTTCCATTAAAAGTGTCATTAATTAATAAAGTACTTTTGGAATCAATGAAACTGTAAATGCTAAGATTAAGCTCTGGTTTCTAAAGCTACTTTTGTCAAAAACAATTTTTCGGTGTGTAAGGGTTTGGATTAATTTGCCTTTTCATTTCCTACTTGGAACCAAATTTGCACGTTAAAATTTTGTGGTGTTATTTAGTCTGGAAAATAATTTCTAAAGGCCACCCTTTTAAATCAATTCCACGACAAGAAAAATAGAAAAGAAAACAAAAACTCACCTCAAATAGATGAGTTTTTGGTCAGGAAAAGAGAAAAAGATCTAATCTAAAACCAAAGGTTTGAATAATCCAAAGTTAAATTGGGAGAGATGCTGCAACCTTGTGTGCACTATCTGCAATTAGATTGGATGTTCGTGTGTGTGCTATCTGTTCCTATTGATTTGCTATGAAGGTACTTGAAGATGTTGTAAGGTCATTTTTTTCAGCTGTCCTGAATATGGAACTTTCCAAATCAATAATAATCAAGTCTTCTGCAAATATTTGCTAAAAAGGTCACAGAAAGACCAGATTAAAGGTCAAATTTAGGTTATGCTAAAGTAATCTGAGTGAGTAGAGATGAATTTTTTTGTAATGTTGACATTTTTATTCTGTCTTTAAAATCTTTTCCTTGTAAAATAAACTTTTATGTTTTAAATCTCTTTGAATCCCTCCTTTTATTACTGTTAATGGTGTTTGTTTTTGAACGAGAGGAAAGCTTTATTGAGATCAGAGAGCCTCTTGAGGTTTGCTGAAGTGATAGAGCGAGAGATAGACGAGGTCAAAGAGGAGTCACCATGGAGTGGACTGTGATGCCCAACTTACATGATCCGCCTCTTCTGGACTGATACTGTCTCCTGATTACAACTAAATCAAACCTTTTCCCTCAACAACCTGACATACCGAACATCCAGAGACACATGGAGATAATTACAAAGTCAGTCTTCCATCGCCTGAAGAACATTTCTAGGATTGAATGACAAATGTCTAGAAAGAGTTGTCCGTGTATTCATCTAAAGTCACATTAGTCACTGCAACAGGTCTGGATTAAAAGTCCATCAAAGAGCTACAACTGATCCAGAACACGGATTCTCGCGTTCTGACTAAAACTAACAAACTAGTCAAATTAAGACTAAAACTAGTCAAATTAAGTCAAGCTTATTTTATTGCATATTTTAGCATAAGGCAGTTCAAAAATGCTTTACACCATAAAAACATGATGCAGTAAACAATTATGAAACAAACAGTTAACATTACATTTTCTCAAATCCCATCATTCAAATCCACAAGCAAATAAGTTTTTCAGCATCTTTTTAGTTTTCTGGAAGTTTGTTCCAGATTTGTGGTGAATAGAAACTGAATGCTGCTTCTCCGTGTTTGTTTCTTGTTTTTCGGTATGCAGAGCAGATCAGAACCAGAAGGTCTGGAAGGTTGATACAACAACAATAGTTCTTCACTGTTTATAAACTAACAAGAGTATTTCAGAGTATATTCTCTGAGCTGCAGGGAGTGAATGATTTTAAAACTGGGTTGATAAAAGAAAAGGATGAAAAAGAGACAGTACACCAGGAGAGAAGGGTTAGGGGTGGATTTGTAACAGAAGGATTGCTGCTAAAATGAAAAACAAGGCATCTAGACCGGATATAATCCAAGGTTTAGACAGTGGCATTCATAGAGAGACAGCAGGTGGAGGTGATGATGTTCAGATATTTACTGAGTGTGGCCCAAATGAGCAGGATTCAAATTTAGTGCTTCGGAGAGACAGACCATGTTTATTTAAAGCAAAAATAAAGACGCAAAGCTGAGGAGTTTTAAAGATGCGGAGGGACAGTGCATGACAAAGGCTGTTAAAAGTGGAGCTGGAGAGGTGAAGAGAAGGAAGACAACAGGAAGCATGCCACTGCTATTTTTATGCCTTATTTTATATATAAACATGAGATTGCTGGCAAGATTCTGAAGGTTAAAAAGCTTATAACAGCAAGTCTGAAAAGAGACTCCGATAACAACGGCATTTTTAATACTAAAGATGAAATACAAAAGGAAAACAACGCATTGTTGACACAAAATATACACAAACTAACAGGAGGCAGATAAACACACTGACATAAGCAACATGGAGTCCCATGGCGACATGCAATCACTCTCCAGCCAAGTTTATCAGATTTCCCTCTTCCAAAAAGGAGGCTATAAAACGGGTCAGGAGGAAGGGAAACATGGAACCATGCCAGGTGTTTCTCTGAGATCTCACAACAAACAGGCCTATCCTGTGACTTTGAGCCTCCCTGTCAGCCCCCGCGGGGACAGAAAGGTGGCTCAAAGTTGGTAAACATCTGTAGGCAGAGGGCTTGTGCAATCGCCCTCCTCAGTAAGACCCAGCCTGCGAGGCTGTGGCAACACAGCACAGCGCCGTCGCTCTCTGTGCAGGCTGAGGTGAATCATGCTGACACCGAGGATCTCAAGTGCCACCGCTAGATTCATAAGCTTTGGCAAATGAGCTGCCAAGCCAGCACAGCGGAGCTGAGAATGTATCGGTTTCAGCAGCATGAAAACGTTTTCAGTAGTTTTCCACCAGGCCTACGTTTACAACGGTTACGTTGGAGTGGCTCTTCAGCAGATCAATTTCTTTATTTTTCTTCTGAAAACCATGAGAGATACTGTATGTTTACAACGCTACAAACATTGCAGTAACTGGATATATGTGAAATTAGATAATGAGGGAGGCTACAGTTGAGAAAAATGCTTTATTTCAGTTTCTTGGCAAAGTTGGCGGAGAAACTCAATGCATCACTTTCACATTTATCAAAGTTTAAAGTGAATCCAGGGAAGCGCAGCTGGATTGAACTTTTCTGGGGCCAAAACAAAATGTTTAACATTTCATTGGTGTCAAATCTTCCAGACAAAATCTTAACATTTGAAACTGAATCCAGCTCACATTGCTAAGCTAAGCTAGGCTAAGCTGGGCTTAGCTTAGGAATAGTTTTATTTATGAGGAAGTCCAGGGTGTACCCTGCCTCCTGGCTGTTGACCACTGGAGACTCTGCAATGATACGCATGTTATATAATAGATAGATGAATAAATAAATGAACACATAAATTAATAACAAATATCTCCCATGGGTGTACATTTGCTGTGATTATATCATTATTTCTCAAAACTGACCCTTTGGATCCTACACAGAATCTCGAGAAACTTTCATAGGATCTCCAGAAAATTAGCCAAGATTGCGTTTTAAATTTTTTTTTCTCCATGCTTTGTATGCTGTCCTCGCCCTGAGTTCTCAATTTCTTCAGCAGCTAGACAGCTAGACAAAGACGCTCCAATAACCAAACTTCTTTCTTTTTTAGCGGTTTATTGAAGAGTGGCCTCTGACCACTGCCATCACTTTAGCCATCGTAAACTGAAACATACAAAACTGCGTATTAGCAAACGAACTAGCTTTTTGTTACGAGCTAAAATAAAACATTTACACCAAAGTTACATAAAACAAAAGGCAATTAACAGATACTTACGAACAAATCTTGTCTGACACACAACGTACAAGAATAGCAAACAGCGTTCCACCATCTTGGATATTCTCTTTATGATTCAACGTCACTAAACAATATAACAAAATATCCACCAGGGGGTGCTCTAGTGCGGTTTTCACCTTACTGGTCAGGCTTTACTTACAAAAGGCAGCACACTTTGTGATAATCTTTGTTGAGATCAGAAAATTTCTACCATAGAAATCAGACTCAAAGGGAGAAAACCCAGACAGAGCATTGAAGGGAGATGAGAATCAAGCAGAAATGCAAAGGAGGCCAATGACCAAGCTACAGTTAGCTTAACTTGGCTAACCATTGTATAACCCAGAACTTATCTTTTCATTCATTTAAACCATTAGCTGAACACAAGTTAGATAATAAGCTAATTTGCGACTCCCAAGTCTTTTAACTGACCAAAATGGAGCCGAGATAAAGCTAGCTCAACTTAGCATAAAGACAGACAAGACTGAAAATGATAAGCCTAACCAAGCCAAACAGCATAATGAGACAGTATTCACAAGGTTTTAATTACTTAGATATTCATACATCTTATGATAAACTTAATCTGACACTCAAATTTACTTCTGAAAATGGATTGCTGGTGCTAAGTAAAAGCTAACTAATGCTAGCATGAAAATAAGAAACCTTTAGATATGTTTCAAAAGACCATAATTACTTTCTTGGAAATCTACCACTTTACAGCTTTCAGCCGTTTCTGATGAAACATCAAAAATGGCTCTGGGTGAAAACTGGCTCATCTTTCAAAAAGACAGAAAGCTTTGCAGTTAGGCTAGCGCAACCCAAAGCACATTTGATGTTTGTCATAATATAAAAAACTTTTACAGCAATAACTGAAACCATTTTAATAGTTAAAAGCATAAAAAGCTGTCCAATTTTAATTGTTTAAGAGTTTCCAGAGCTTTGTAGACCTCGACAGGCTAAACAATGGAGCGTTATAGTCCTGACCCACATTAACGCAGCAGGGCAAGGGGTGCTGTGTGCGCCTCAGGAGACCATCAGTGCTTCTTTGTCCTTCACAATGACACTGCGTTTTGCATATTCCCATGTGATCTTTCCATTAACTGCAAAAACAGTGTCAGTCTGTTCAGTGGCTTGTGCAAGAATGACATCACAACTTAATTGGTTACAGTTTCATATGAGGTGGTAGACCATTAGATGAGGTCAGCTCTTCCAGAGCCTTTAACGCTTTAACTCTAAATGTTTTAACAGTTCTTTCAAAGTAATTAGTTTTATCACTGAGAAATGCTACAAGTTCTTGCAAATAGTTTGAGAAACAGCAGATTCCTCAGTTTCAGTCTTAAATTAACCAGTAAATCATTTTCCTTTAACATGTGCACACCATTTCGTCCAAGTGCAGGATCAATTATAATCTTGGTACTAGAGTTTCTGCAATTTCTCAGAACTGAATTTAGATTTAGACTGAAGTAATTACTACAAAGTGACAAGTTTCACGTTTTAAACTGAAATATAGAATATAACTTTTAAAATAATTTATTGCAATGTATTAAATTAACTTCAACACCTTCCAGTACTTGGTAAGCCAGTTACCTGCAGGTTTTAACAAACCATGCATGAAAAATTTGAAGCAATTTAAAGTAAAAGTTGATGCAAAGCACTTCAAACAACCTCAATCATATTTGATTAGCAATGATGCTGAAAGATGGCATTCAAGTCAACTGAACAAAAATAAAAATGCTTAAAGAGCAAACACTAAATAATGCTTAGGCAGTAAAAATTATAAAATATTTTATTGGCTAATGGACAAGTACTTGCCTTGCACAATAAATAAGGATTAAAGAAAAAAGAATGTCATAAACCAAAGTACACAATTAAGCCTCCAACACTGAGTGAACCAAACTTTTAATTGTATATAAAGGCTCTTGCTTTGTAAAGGAGCATCTGTCAGTATAAAAATAAAAATGCATCAAGACATTCACACAGAGCAGCCCATTGCTGTGATCCGAATGCAGAACGGACAGTTCAGGCCTCCACGTTCCCAAGTGTGACAAGCCCCCACCACAACAGCATCTGTACAGCTCTTAATGTTTGCAGCCCCAAACAGTTCATCACAGCTCGATGCATGCGGCTGCCTGAAGACCACACAATGGTCTGCAAGGCAAGCCTGCACACCTTTAATGGGAATTCTTCCATTCAAAAGTCTCACAGCACACATTTTCAATCAATTTTCCCCAAAGATTCAGGAAATTACTCGATTGCTCTCACCCACAACTTTGCTGACTCTGGGGGGGGGGGGGAAATGTCCCCCTCTGCTTGTCCTTGAAACAGTTTTTTCCTACAATGAAATTTATTACCTCTTTCACACACAAACGGACAAACACACAAAAACAAAAGAACGCACTCTGCTTATGGGTAAAATTTGGACTCAACTATGTTACCCAAATCCTAAGGAAGGCTTTTTATGTCGAAACCACAATATTTTGGTTGGAGTTAGACAGGACGCTAATTATTCCAAAAGATGTAATTAGCGTTCTGAGGAAAAGCACCAGGGAGCAAAGGTTCAAGCATGTACTGCAGGATTCAAGAGGCATCAAATATAAAACACCCTGACATATTGAGTGAGAGCAGAGCATGTGTGAGCTTACAAGTTTTTTTTTTTTTTTAGCAGAGTTTTGAGTAAGAGCACTGCGATATCTGAGCATGAAAACCATCGCCTTGCTCTCAAACTGCAAAACTATGCTTTTATTTCTTGGAAGAAAACCTCACATCCTGTTACTGCAGCTTAACATTCAAAGCACCTGGAAACACAGGTGCTTCTACAAAGTGGCGAGTGCCTTTAACAGAAGAGTACCCACACTATGGCTCCTGCAAACATGTCAATGTGAACACTTTTACATTCATTTTGAAAAGGTAAATGGTAAAATTGTGCTTGAGTGAGAAACTGCTCTAAGGAAAACAGAGGGAATTTTTAAGGACTATGAAGCTGAAGTCAGAAATATCTAGTTTGTTTAACATTTAAAATCCTAACCTTACAGTGACAAACTTGTACAAAAGAGCTGAAAACGTGACACCGCTTTGGTCTCACTTGTAGTTTTTAAGTGCATTTCACCGCAGGGAGACACTGTCTCACTTCCGACACAGTTCAACACTTCTCTATCACAGTGCCAGCCGAGGAGGAGTACAGTTTCTTCTTGACCAGACGGAAACCTGGACTCAGTTTGATGACGTGCCTGAAGGTCGGGCCGAAGCACGAGCCCATTAAGAGGAAGTCCCGCAGGCTGGGCCATGCCGAACCGTCCTGCTTGAACACAAGAGTCAGCTCAAATGTGGGAACGACGGAGGCATCGCATGCAATGCGCTCCAGCTGCTTCCAGCCCTTCTCCAGCTCCAGGTGGACGTACAGGACGCAGCCGCGCAGGCCGCAGGGCTCGCAGGACGCCAGCTGCAGAACCTCGCGGGCTATCCTGCGGGTCAGCTTCTCTGGTACCAAAACAGAGGAGCAGTGCAAAGTCGTTTTCTTGGCCCGGGATAGGCAGTTTTCAAACATCTTAGCCAACTGGTGGCAGCTTCTGTCCTCGGTTACGTCTGCAGCCGCATGGGGCTCAGCCAGACAGTGATCCCAGAAATCCAACTCTGTAAAACCAAACAGATCAAAGCACATCACATACTGGATGTTTCAACAATATGCATGTACATGCAACAGTCAGATAATTAGTCTGCATGCTGCAGTGCACAGGTATGTCATGAGAGGACTAAAAGATGCAATGATCAAAAATACTTAAATTTATCAGCTCCAGGACAGGCAGATGGGGTTAAGCATCAGCTTTTATTTATTTGTTTACACAGAGGCTAAAGGGATGACTTCATCCTATGTAGCCATCCCTCCCCCATCCTCTGCTGCAGCCATGCACCACACAGACAAACAAGCAGCTGGAAATAATCAACACGTTCGCCAACAACGCAGAAAACGCCAGCAGGTTTACCTTTCTCGATGCACACCTGGTCGTACCGCCGTTCAACCACCTCCGAAACACCCTCCGTGTTTTTAGTCTTTAATTTACTCGTGGCAACCATGGTGACTGTTACTTATCCACAACACAGCTGCCTGGAAAACAGGGGAAGCGTCAAGAAGTTAAACCACCACCACCTTTTCTTTTCTTTTCTTTTTTAAGTCATAAAACGCAGTTAACTGACGCTACTTTCGGCAGTGCCTCACTAAAAATTAGCTTTTAATCAAGCTTCATAAAACAAAACCAAAAAAAATCACTAGCAAATTAATCACTTTGACATCACATAAATGACTGTTTGTTAGCAATAAAGCAACACTCCACGCCACTTTCTCTCACAGAAGACGTACCTTTTACATTCAAACTCGATGCACACGCAAGTTCCCAGTAATATTTATACCTTCATCGCTCGGCTGGTCGGAGGGTTTGACCAATCAGAACGCGTCTTTCAAAAGCCTAACGTATGACGTTTTTGATTGGCTACAACATTAGTTCAGTTAGAAATTCTATAGGTGGAGAAAATATGTGTGTTGCTATGTGGAAGAACTGATCTATCTATCTATCTATCTATCTATCTATCTATCTATCTATCTATCTATCTATCTATCTATCTATCTATCTATCTATCTATCTATCTATCTATCTATCTATCTATCTATCTATCTATCTATCTATCTCTCTATCTATCTATCTATCTATCTATCTATCTATCTATCTATCTATCTATCTATCTATCTATCTATCTATCTAATTTTCATTAGCAGTAGCAAAATTAACAGAAACAAAGGTTTGAAACATTACTGGTTGTAATTCGTTTAAATAACATGTTTAGTAAATTATAAATGCTTTTTTAAAATAATATACAAATTTATTGAATGGGGCTATATATATATATATATATATATATATATATATATATATATATATGTCTGTGTGTGTGTGTGTGTGTGTGTGTGTGTGTGTGTGTGTGTGTGTGTGTGTGTGTGTGTGTCTATGTATAGAGGGTTAGACAGATATATAGCCGGCTGAGCAAAGGGCACAGAGAGGTGAATGGAGGAAGACTGCAGCAGTTCACTGAGGTATGAAGTAGTGAGGCTATGAATGGCCTTGAATATAAGAAGAGGGATTATGTGACATTTGACTGGGAGCCAGTGGTGTGCCAGGTGAATTGGTTCTGGGGATGTTATGGCAAGCTGCGTTCTGGACTAACTGAAGTTTGTGGATGACTTTCTGAGGTGCAGACAGAGGTGATTAGCTAAGTATACGGTACTTCAGCCATGTCCAGACTGTTTGTCACATGGGACCAAATGATCTAGTTGAATATATTCAATTTCAAATAAAAAATTCGTACTTGCTCAGCAATTATATGAGCACAATGTTTTAATAAAATGACCAAAGTCATTTTAGACAGCATTTCTCTTTCGCCTTCCTGCTCCTCCAGGAAGAAGGCTGAAACAAACCATCATTAAGATTGAGGTCTTTAGCTTCTTTGGGAGTAGATGACCTTATTTATTTTTATGCACCCAATGCACAATGTTCTGTCCCAGACAGGAGCAAAGAAAAAAAAGATTAAACAAATGAACCTCTCAACTAAATAGTGGACTGACTCAAAACCCAGCCAGGAAGCCAGCCAGCCAGCCAGCCAGCCAACCAACCAACCAACCAACCAACCAACCCACCAACCCACCAACCAACCAACCAACCAACCAACCAACCAACCAACCAACCAACCCACCAACCAACCAACTAACCCACCAACCAACCAACCCACCAACCAACCAACTAACCCACCAACCAACCCACCAACCAACTCACCAACCAACCAACCAACCCACCCCACCAACCAACCCACCAACCAACTCACCAACCAACCAACCAACCCACCAACCCACCAACCAACCCACCAACCCACCAACCAACAAACCAACCAACTAACCAACCAACCCACCAACCCACCAACCCACCAACCCACCAACCAACCAACCAACCAACCCACCAACCAACCAGCCAACCCACCAACCAACTCACCAACCAACCAACCAACCAACCAACCCACCAACCAACCAACCAACCAACCAACCAGCCAACCCACCAACCAACCAACCAACCAACCAACCCACCAACACCAACCCACCACCCACCAACCAACCAACCCACCAACCAACCAACCAACCAACCCACCAACCAACCCACCAACCAACCCACCAACCAACCAACCAACCAACCCACCAACCAACCCACCAACCCACCAACCAACCAACCAACCCGTTTTGGCTTCATAAAACAGCCAAGTCAAATAGTTAACCAATAAATCAAAGCAAAAAAGAAACCAATCAAACCAACCATCAATGAATTAATAGTTGGTTTGAATTAAAATCAAGACAAAAACAAAAAAACATTTGAAATACAGAACAACCCAACCACCAAACAGACCAACCAATTTTTGTTGGTCTGCAACAAAAAAGTAACCATTAGGCCTATGAATTAAATAACTAGCCAAATCATCGCAACAATCAAAACCCCAAAGTAAATACAGCAAGACAAACATAATGGCAAAGAATTAGACATGACCAAAGACATGACTTTTAGATTCTGTTAATCTAAATATAGCCCTAATAAAACCACTTCTATCCTCCACCTGTTTACTTTCCTCCATTGTTTTTTAGACAATTACCAGCCCAGTATTCTGTCCTGGTAAGGTACAAAACACCAAAACAACAGAGAAAAAGCTTCAAAGACCTGCAGAAAGCCTGGAGTCTATTATTATAAACCATTTAAAAACACGACAAGACACTCAGGCTCATTAGAAGCAAAATATAAAGCAATTTGTTTCTGTATGTTTAAATCAAATGAAAAGCTGCAAAGAAACCTTAAAATGCCGTTTTTCACTGTGTGGACCTGACAGGAGCAGCACAGGCCCAGCAGTACGTCTCATCAGCAGCTCACCTCTCATCACCCTCTGTCGTTACCAAGATTTTCTTGCTGTAACTGGATCTGGCTCACTTGCCCCCAGCTGCTCTGCTGAATGAAGGGTAATGGAATCCAGTGGGCGCCTCAGTCAGATAGCTTTCTCCCAGTCACATGAAGACAAATATTCCCCGAGGGGGGAAAAAAAGTCTCACTCTTTAAGCAATGTTACCCCCATGAATGCAGACATATAGAGTGTGAGGTAACTTGAGGAAGGGTAAATACCAGCAACAGTTTGAATGGTTGAAAAAGGGTAAAAAGTGCAGTTCCATTATATTAATCTTGTCTGCGGATGGAGATATTTTTAATAAACGGTTGGAGTGAGACGGGGCGTGCTTCTGAACCAGAGCTCATCTTGAGAATGCACGGCGTCATGAGAAAGCTTTCATTCAGATCTGACCTACTTTTATCTCACTTGTGTTCACTTTCTGCTGAGACAGCTGTTTGTCCTGTCAAATAAAAACTTTACGAGTCTGAAAACCGTTTTCTCATCGTCAGCTCGTTCAGTGATGCGACGTGTGAGAAATCTTCATTGACGTGCAATAAAGAGGAACATTTTAAAAAAGGGACTGATTGTGGACGTCTGGCCTGAAACCTGATCTGTAGTCAGATTTAGCTGCAATGTGGGTTAACTGGGCAGCCAATATGACAAACAATGCTGACAAACAGCAGGTTTCTGGATTTATAGAAACACTGGCACACTGAAGAGGTCATGTTTTATGTTTCTAGAGTTTGGTACATGAGTAATATATCATTTCTTAAAACTAAAGATATAATGGATACAAATAAAAATATAAAAAAGAAGTCCAGAGAAACAAATTTGGCAACCACTTTTGCTATTAAAGTGCGTATATCTTGAAATTAATCTTATATTTATCTAAGCCAATCAGTTCTTGGTGGTCGTTTCTTGCCTAGTTAAAACCCATCCACAGTTTTAGCATTGTGCTTTCCAGCATTCATCTTTTGTCTATAACAGCTTGTCCTTGACCGAATCAAAGGATGTTTCAACAATATTGGTTTAAGGGAGTGAACACTTATGCAACCACATTGCATAAGAGCTCATTTGATCGCTCAGCTGCGAAAGTTTGGAAATAATTTACAACAGTGAGTTTTTAGACATCATACATAATTTTAGCAGGTTTAACAACAGTGTGAACACTTTTTTTATCCACTGTATACTTGTGTTTTTTTCTTAATATCTTGGTTCTCTGTCATTTTTCTCTCCTGTCACATTTTATTCTTGCTTTGTGCACCAAAGCTGAAAATTTGCTCCACCTTCTGTTTCCATAAAAGACGTTGAAAGGAGCTGTGTTTCGGATTACCAACCGGCCGCGGTGCAGATGAAGCTCTGGTGGTCCGTGTGAAAACACCTGGCATGGCGGCTGGCACCTCTCTGCTCTGTGAAACGTGCCGCTTGCAGAGGCCTTTTGCTGAGTTGCACTTAACTGCAATGAGAGACAGCTGTTTTCCTTTGCAGACGATGCTGTGGGTGATACGTGATCCTCACACATCAACGGCGGCTCATGTGAGCGGTGGAAACCCTTGTGTAGAAAAACAAAAAACAACTACAGAAAACTGGAAGACCATGTGGATCAATCAGGGGGAAAGAACTTTTATATACATTTTAAAAATGGCATCATGATGTTCACTTCAGACACAGCTAATCTTAAATGTCAAGTTTTCATTAGCTGGAAGAGGAATTTGTAGAAATAAAAGTTTGAATACATCAGTTTAAATCAGGAGAAACTAATGTCTCCGAGTTCTCATGGAAACCTTTGGGTCTGGAGTCTCTCGTCTTCCTCCAGTCAGACAATCACACACAGTGACATCATGGTCATTGAACTAGCTTTTGGTGCATTGGCAGCATCAGTATCTCCATACAGCTTCTCTAAAACGTCTTGGTTGACGGCTGAGTCTGGACATCAGAAACCTGCCAGAACCAGCAGAGTGCATGGCACCATCACTGACCTCACGCTGAACCTCAAGCAGCATGGATTCTCTGCCTCTCCACACTTACCCCAGATTCTGGGACCTTGATTTATACATAAATGCAAACTTTACTGGGCTTACAACCACTGATCAACCAGGCCAGTCCTTTTTCTTTGGCTTGCAGTCTGGGTGCAGGATTCGTCTGCGTGTGGTGGATCTTCACCTTCCAGAAGGATGCTAAACATTCGATCAGATTAGTTTCTGGACTCTAAATGCTGAGAGCAAGTACAACAACCTGCAATTACAGAAAGTAACTGAGCCCAGACTGCAGGTGGTGAGGCCTCAGTTGCATTTTCGGCCTGGGTTTTGATGGAAGAGCTCCCAGTGTTCCTCTGGTCTCACCTTACAGAGCCCGCAGATGGCATAAGGTCATATGTGTGACCTGGCAGAGCTTCCTGAGCTCCTCTGTGCAAAGATCAAACATCAGGTGACACAACCTTATAAAACGCCACAACAAAAGCAGTAACTTGCTCACTCTCAGCGCCCTCTGGTGGCCAAAACATAAAGCAAATGTTTGCCCTAAAGCTTCATTTTGCTCTTGAAAAGTCTTTCAACATAAAATCAGCACAAAGCAAAGAAAAGATATTTATGATTGCCATGACACATTTGTTACACAAATGAACCATTATCCAAACTTTTATTGATGAAACTGTGGCTGATAGTTCATGACATAAAGCACAGAGCAGTTCCAGAAGTTTTAAAGTAAATACAATAATTGTGTTACTTCATTCTGTTTCTTGAAGAAAAATTCAGCAACATTTCTGCATCAAACTGAGGAAAGTACAATTACACCAAAATAAAACAGAAAAAAACCCTAGAATAATAACAAAAAATCCCAGAGGAGATAAATCAAAAACATAAAAGGCTGAACAAAAAAGTGATTTATTTTATTAAACAGGTGAGGATTCTGAGGTAAGTGCACTGCAGAGGAAATGTGTTTGTGGACTGAACTTCACAGCAGACAGAAGTTAGCTTTACAGCAGTAACAGTCATCTTAAAAGTAAAGATTATAAACCATCATTTCCTAATTTAGTCTTTGCTTTTTGTGGCGATCACAGTGGATGTTCTTATCAGAAACCAGGAAACAGCACAAAGCAAGCACGCATTATTTAGTGTTTGTCTTCAGATGCAAAACACTGGGATGAAATACAAGCTTTTCATCTGTTATAATTTTGTTTAAAACAAGTAAAAATATGTTAAGGATGCTCATCCTCATCCTTAACATATCCAGATACATCGTGACAGTCGCTTAAAAATGAACAAATCCGGGTAAAAACAATATATAAGGTAAAAGTGCATGCTTAAAATCCAGTGTCTTTGGGTGAAGGGGTATTTCAACACAATCTTTGACAAATCCTTCAGGACATCAACTGTCAGCATATATTACATTTCACAGGAAAACAAAACCACTTTTAAACTTACACTCATCCATTGTAGACAATTAAGGCTGCATTCACTCTGCAGCCCGAGGTGACCCAGTTCTGATTTATTTATTTATTTCTCTGCGACCTGCATATGATTTCTTTATGGCGGTCAGAAAATATTTGTCATTTATTTCATGGCGGTTGGCAAACCTGCGAGCACGGTCTCCACGCGACGTTATTTCGCCCTCCACTGCGCATGCGGGACACTTTCGTTTGCAGTTCACACTGGAGAATACACGCAGGTCGCATATATTTGGAAGTGAACGACCACGGCAAGAAAAAAATAATAAAAAATTGATCAGATTCGACGAAAGTCGGCTTCGGGTCACTTGGAGCTGCGATGCGAACGCAGGCAGAATTAATTTTATTGCTGGTTTCTCGTGGGGGAAATCCACCAAAACGTGCACAGAACCTCACAATCCCTGTTGTGAAGCACAAGTTGCTCTTTCTGTGTGTGAAATTACACGTTTCAGAGATTTCCCTGCTTTGCAAAAGTATTAAAAAGTATTAAAAAAAACAAAACTCAGTCGTTGGCTTCAGGTCAGCAGTACGTTGGAGGTGCAGATTTAGACTTTCCTCTCCTTATCTGGCAGCTGCTGTAACACAGATAACAGAAGTAATGATGGAAAACGAGCTTAAATTGGAATTACATGAGGTTTTCTGAAAACTCTCAAGACATCCTTTAGTTTGAAACAACGTAAACAATTTCTTCCTTTGCAAAATTCCTATGGCATGAATCCATTTCCTTCTGCAGCCTTGAGCCAAGGCGAGTGGTAGCGAAGGGAAGTGGGATACCTACCCAGATTTATTTTAATTTTTTTAGGTGGAGGACGGGCATCGACACATTCCTCCGCTGTTTGGGCTGCGCTGACATTTACAGGCCGACACAATAGCTCCGGTCCAAAAGAATCAGTGTTTATGCAAGGAAGTCGCTATCTTTCAATCCCAGCTACTTGTTTTTGGGCGGGGGCGAAAAATCACAGGAAACACCTTCTGTTGCCTGTCAGAGCCGCCGAAGCCCGCAGAGCACAAGCAGATATTAAAAGCCAGTGACTTCCCTGGAACAACTGGGAGATTGTGTCTGGAAGAAAGCGCTGGCCACAGGAAGCAGTGGGACGGCGGCTCACCATTTTCTTCGCCGCCTGATGACTTCACTCCCAGGAGCATGACTCCATCTTTGCTGCTCTCCGGCCTGCTCTGGAACGATGCACTTTGGAGGGCAAAAGGATGCAAGATTATAGACGTTTAAACACATAACTATCGCCTTACAGCACCAAACTTACTTCTCAGTTCCAGTGTCGATGGTCTCTGAGGAGCAGAAAACAAGACAGCGACACGTTGGGTGAAGCAATGACTGATTAAACTTTGAACTTATCAAGTATTTGAGAGGGAAGCTGATTTGTACCTGTGTGATCGTGGACCTTCTTACTTTTGAATTTCAAGAAAAGAGCGGCTACACCTACGACCAGGGCAGCGGGCAGAAGAAGCCACCACAGCCGTTTGTCTGAACCTGTCAGAGGAAAACATCCATCCAGTCTGACATGTCAGGTTAGACATCAAACAGTGGAAACATCTCAATCAACTTAACGGACTTTTTATGCAAATTTTTATCAAACTTCACATTAAAAGTGTCATTATTGACTGATTGACAGTCAATAATGCAACCCTCTCTCAGTGTGGAGAGGGTGGCGCTAAACACAGTCTCACATTTAGCCGAAATCATCTGGATGGTTCCAAAGACTTCTGGGGAAAAAAAACCTGAGGTGTTTGGAAGGTAAAATTAACTCTAAAAAATATATTTATTTCATCTGAAGTTGAGCAATAAGAGCAAAAAAACTACTTCTAAACAGCACCTGTTATCTTTCCAGATGTTTTATTGGTGAACTGCAAATGCTTCAAGACAACGTCTCACAAGATTCAGAAATTAAACCAATCAAAATGCCCGGCAGCCAGCCAATCAGTGAAGACCTCGTTTGAATCTTTTGAAAAAAACGCTGTACGGTTCGTCAACAGAGAAAAGTTTGGTGTGTTTGTAAAGTTGGAGGAGAAGCAGGTTGATCAAAATGTTGAAATTGTGTCCAAGCGGGTCGGTAATGTCCGACTGGATATTTAAATGAGATATCAGCGTTGTTTTAATGAAAGCGGTGGACATACCGGCAGCTTTCTGCTCAGATGCTTCCTTTTCCTGCCTTTCACTGGGTTTCTGCTCTGGTTTCTGGGTCGTCGCATTTGGTGTCGTGGCTAAATTAATTAACAAAACAGATGTTACCTTAAAACGAGGGAGTCTATAGAAATAAACAAAATAAAATACAAAGAGATCATGCAGAGGAGACAGTTGAATCTGTGAACAGCAGGTATAAATGATTTGGGTTTTTTTTAACAAACACAATAAATAATAAATGTTTTCAGAGCCACACTTAAAAAAATTGCATCCAGCTTTGCTTGATCCGACCCACCTGGTGGAATCGAGTCTCACCTGCAGTCGCTTTTGTGGCGCTTGATGTAGACGCGGTTTTGGACGCAGGACTTGCAGTGGGTGTCAAAGCTAAAAGCAAAGGGAAAAACAAGGCAGACGACATAAATCTTTCAAACACTAAATCGCACATTGAAATGTTCTTTCACATCGACGGTCGGCCACAAGATGTAGAGAAATAAAAGCAAGGAAATTAAAGAAACAAAAGCAGTAAAATATAAAGAAGTGTCTCACTTTGGTTGATGGTTTCATTGGTATTTGTTGTGTTTTGGCTGAGAGGCTGAGCAGTCGTCGTAATGGTTGAAGATGTGGGATCAATCAATACTAGAAAGAAAGAAGGAAAGAAAGAAAGATAGAAAGATAGAGAGAAAGGAAGAAAGAAAGAAAGAAAGAAAGAAAGAAAGAAAGAAAGAAAGAAAGACAGACAGACAGACAGACAGACAGACAGACAGACAGACAGACAGACAGACAGACAGACAGACAGACAGACGGGAGGGAGGGAGGGAGGGAGGAAGGAAGGAAGAAAGGAAGAAAAAAGAAAAAACAGAAAGGATGTATTCTTTACTATTCTTTACTTTCTGAGACAAACATTCTCACAAAAACTGCTTTAATAATCAGGTGTCCAATCTGCAGAGTGACGAGATTTTAATTTATTCTGATAGATCAAGACAAAAGTAAAGTCACTAATGAAAGAAAACTTGTTTGTCACCATCATGGTCGCCTTTTAGCCTTCATGCTAAGACGACTGGACCTAAAATGTGGACGTGTTACTTCAAAACAAATGATAAAATGTACACAGTCTCTGATTACAAGTGAATACAAATATTTATGAGCAAGACAGAAAACAAGAATATGGAGGAAGAGAGCAGAGTGACTCAGAAACAAGCTCACGTTTCGGGGTTGAGCCACTGGGAACAGATGATGCTGTCAGCAGAGCTGGTGCGTTGGCAGTCGTTAAAGATGGGGATGTTGCTGGACTTTTCATTGTTGTTCCTTAGATTGAAAATAAGAAAACATCAAGAACTGAACAGAACATAAAGCGCAGCATATCAAAAATAATTGTCTTTAGATTTAACAAGATCAGCTTCTACAATTTCTTGGTGCTTGTTGACAAATCGACCAAATGAAGTGAGGACACTTTAATTATCTTAACTGCTTTACTCACCTGGAGCCTTTGACGTTGGTTCATTTGACAGAGCTGTAAAGCAGCAGAAGCAGGTCGGTTATCTGGCAGAGAGGAGCTGCGATCGCTTTCATATTTGCTGCGTCTGCTGGGAGTTTACGGTTTTGTTTTGCCCGATCTAAACCAGACTGATGCTTTGTTGTTGGATCCAAGGCTTTGAAGGGAAGATTACATCTCTGGGACAGTTTTCAAAAATTGGATAATTTGGAAGAATCCAGGATACGAGGCAGAAAGTGGATGAATGCACTGATATACAGTCGCATCAAAAGACAAAGTTATCTAAAAATACAAATGATAGGTTTTTATGTATTTTGAATAAATCTGGTGTATTTAGTTTTGTGTTTTTGTAAACTTGAGGTTAGCTTTAAGTACTTAAACAGAATACAGAAATAATAAAAAGCTGCTGAAACTGAACTTGTGTTAGAATTGCAGCACAGCTAGCTGCGACAGGAGCATAGAAAAGCAGCAGTTTACAGGTTGTGGGATTTTTTTTAAAGAATCAGTTTTTGGATTCTTTGATGTAGGTAGATGGTTAGTATACATTGGATCCACAGCTACTTGCTAAGAGCTCAAATTGGCGATTTGAAGCACATAAAACTGTCTTTCCCAACATTTCAAACACGAAATTCACCTTAATATCATTGGTATCATCTTAGCCACTTTAGCATTTCTTGCAGTTTTCAGTTCTACTTTTGCTGAACTCTGAAGCTAATACTGATGTCAAAGCAATGTAACTATATTCAAAGCTGTGAGAAGTTAAGAATGGAAGAATTAAAGGCGACTCATCACATTTAGGGCGAATTAAAGAATATAACATGAATTAATTAGACAGGAGAAGTTTCCTCACCTGCAGACGTCTTCTCTGGAGGATTTGTGGTTGAATCAGATGCAACTGAAAAGTACAGAGAGATGGCTAAAGCTAAAGCTAACACATTAAAGAGTTGGTTTTGCTGGTGCAATATATTCCAAGTCAAGGTTTTTAACATATTGCCATGTCTTAACGTCCGAGTGTTGTCAGTCTAAACCAGAGTGAGAAGGTCCCACTTTCTATGCGTCCAACATTTCCTCTGACATGTTCTCTATTTTAAGGTTTGTGCCTCATTTTTTGCAAGATTCCTGTTTGGCAGAGCTTTAAAAGTCAAAGACAAAAGACCTGCATGTTCAGTCAGGCTGGGGAGGAAAAGTCAAGATAGTCGTGGCTTTTTGGTGTTTTGTGGGTGGACATCCTCTTCACTAAGTGAGAAGCTGCATCCTGTTGCAGACAGACAATTGCTGCCCCACTGGCCTGCGCCGGGCTTCCTGTCTCAACCTCTGTCTGCGACGACTTCATTCAGATTCACCAGCAGATGAGAGACCGGTCAGAAACAGTCAACTGCTTGGACAGTTATATCCTTAAAGACATTTAACCCAAGTCAGATTTAACCAAAAGGATTTATGCCGTATGGCTTTTTTTGCACCTCAGTGAATCGTATTTGTGTTTTCTGATGCAAAGCAACATGGAATCTGAAAAGTGTGGCCTTCATTTGTTGAGTTGACGCTACTAAAACAGTCTGAGTTCACGCAGACTGACTGGAGATTGTCAGTAAACGTCAACGACTCTCAGAACAGTTTCCATTCAAGAAAAATATAATTTCAAGAACATTTTTATGCTAAAAAGTGACCAAAGTGTCCACTAACGGGCCAAACTGGTACCGTCCTCTTAGCTGCAGTTGTAGGCCACATGAAATCGTTTCGACGGCCACAAATGGCCCCAGGCCGCACGTTGGACATCCCCTGATTTAGAGGAAGCTAAGTGTGCTAAACGTTTTCAGCTAGCAAAAGCGCAAAACTAAAAGTTAGCTCTGCTATTAGCACGTAGCAGAAATGTGCCCAGCACTGATGTTAGATTACATTCCATAGAAAAATCCATCAATTTGCAAATTTTCCTCAAATAATTTGAAGCCATGTTCCACGAAAAAAGCTACAAACAGTAAACTTTGAATAGGCCGCTCTGGCGATCGTGCTGAACCTCCTCAAAAGTAAAAGTCTTAAATCTGACAGGTTTTCAACCAGGACTGCTGCGTCCATGTCGGACCAGCTTCCTCGTCTCTTCTGAATAGTAATAATCACCAAAGCATGACTCTGCCGCCACCGTGCTTTACCTCTGGGTGATGTGAAATCTTTCTCTCACACATTTAGCATTTTGAACGTAGCCCAAAACGTTCAAATTTGGTCTTATCTGATTAAATCATCTTCTTCCTCTCGACAAGACTTGTGCCAAACTTTGAATGGGAATTTTTGTGGCTTTCAACAATAGCTTTCATCTTGCCCGTGTTCCAATCAAGGACAGATTTATGTAAGTAATTATTAATTGTTAATTATAATCTCCATGGATTCTCATTTCTGCAGCTCCTCCAGAGTACCCAGCAGTCTCTCGACTGATTTATGCTCTCCCTGAATCAGCCTGAGGAGGAAATAAAACAACTTTTTCTGGAATCTTAGACAAGAAAATGTTGATTTTCTTCTTTAAAAATTGGAATTTCAAATAGTTTATTTGCATCTTTTACAGTATTTCTAATATTGCATGAAAAGGCTGGAGAGGCTGAATGAAAAATCTGCAGAACGCAGCTACTTTTTTGATGAGATAAATAATCGTTGGTTGCAATCCCACACTGCCGTTTCGGATTTTGATTCAACAAAATTCAAGACACATCGATACTTTTGCAAGGTTTAACTTTAACAAGCCTTGGTAGATTGAAGGAAAAGAAAAAGTTGACCTCATGTTGATGTAACGAGGTCAAAACCTGAGCCTGCACAGTTTCATGACAAAGCCCCGGCAAGGGTGTTTCCTCCCGATGTTTACTGCTGGAAGTCGGTTTGTTTCCATCAGGGACCTCTTTGGTCGCAGGACAATGATCTGTTGTTTCTGTGACAGAGGGGGCAGCGCGGTTCCCAGCGGTTATCTGAGGTGAGATCACCTATCGGCCCGGCGCAGCGCTGCTGCCAGGAAACACAAACTGGTCCATTTCTTCCCTCCCTCGGTCGGGTTAAACCTCGTTCTTAAGGCTGGATTCCACACAGAGAGCGTAAAGATAATAAACGCAGCAAAACAGGACTTTGAAAGAGAAAGATTTAAAATTTCTGGAAACCCAAAAGATGAGCTACAGGTGTGAGTCTTTCCTTTGCACATGTGATCTTCATCCCGGCCAAAACCACAACTAAATAAAGTCTGAACATAAACCCACAAATAATCTCAAATTAAAACATTAGATTTGAACTTTCTAGTTCAAGTTAATTTGTTGTAGCCATTGAACCGTGACACTTCCTCCAGGTTTTGATCCAGTTCAGATCTTACCTGGTGAGGCTGATCCCAGCAGCAGCAGCAGGATGAAAACCCTGATGGACTTCATGGCGACAGCGTGGATCTTCTTCTGCAGCCTGCAGGCGGGTGGACTCTGCGACAAAAAGCAGCAACAAAAAAAAAGAAGAAGAAAAAGAAGAAGAAGAGGTGTCCAAGTCTGGTCCCTCCGCCGCCGATGCTTATTTTCTAACTTCCTTTACACAAAGAAGGGGAGGAAACACACTGGCTTCCCTTTCTGACGTAAAGTGGGTGGATGTGGCGAGTGGCAGCGCGGCCCCGGTCCATTTAAACAATAATCTCAGTTTGGACCCGTCAGTCTGAGGCAACTCCCATCGGTTATTTTTTCCTGCTCTGACGGCGTCGGATGGATCTGGGAGGAGAAACATCAGCAAAGTCATCAGCAATTATAGGAGATAAAACAATCAGAGATGCTGGGAAACTTTCACTGCTGTTGACTGTGAGCATCAGACACTGGATAATAAACTATCAGCTTGTTTTCTTACATAAACAGTTAAAAACAAGCCGTGACGTCTTACTGCGGAAAACGCCTCACCGTGTGGAACTGGATCCACTTTGGAAAGGTTTTTCTTTGTCCACTTACAGATTCATTCTGCTTCTATCGGATCGTCACACCAACAACATTTTTAAGGTTTCACTTCAGCAACCACACCTGCAGAAACATGACCTGTCAGAAAACCAAAAGCAAAAATAAATAATAAAAAAAAAGGGTGAGAAACAAAGTTATTTGCATCTATAAGCCGTTAATAACTCCAGAGAAGAACCACAGGGGAATTATTACCCACAAATGGAGAAAACAGGAAACGGTGACGGACCCTCCTACTGAAACGACTTCAAAACGGATCATCCAGCAGGTCCCAGAAGAACCAGAACTTCTGAATCCCTCTGCAGAAATGAGTCAACAGCGACAAACAAACTGTTCAGACCGAGAGTTCATAGTTCATGTCCGTTCACAGATTTAGTGAATTATTGTGTTAGCATTTGTGTACTGATAGCGACAAGGCTGCAAAAAGATTTATTCCAATTCCTTGTCATTATAATTATTAACAGAGATCACTGAAAGCTCTTGGAAACGTTAAAATGATCAGTTTCTCTGATTTTACTCTTGTTTTTAGGTACATGTTTCAGTAAAATGTTCTTTCATTCTATGAACTGCTGACATGTCTGTGAAATTTCAAGCATAAATTTAGTATTTATCTGCAGAAAATGGTCATAAAAGATATTAATTTAGAAACAATACTGATGCTTTAACTCAGGAAAAGTTCAGAAGTCAATATTTGAACCAGGAGGTTTTCGGTGCCGACGACCCAGAAGACTTTTGCTACGATATTCTGTGGCCTGTTTGACAAAGTGGCAGCAGCTTGTTTCCTACAAGCAGCAATGAAAACACAAACTGTGAAAACTAGAAAAGGATGTGGAAGGAAAATATTCAGAAACCTTGGCTGTGAAACCATCTCACCCATCGTCTGCTCATGTCTTTGGCTGTGGTTTGTGTTGAGTTTTGTTTTTTTTCTGGCTGTGAACCGTTCGACTGGATTGAATTAGTAGAGGGGAAGTTGCTCTTTGGCAGGTTCTCAACAAAGGTGTTTCCTCCCAATCAACCTCTGTGACTTTTTTGATTAAACTTGGGAGACGCAGCCAAGAATGCACAACCCTGCATGCTCCTTCACTCAAGCGCTTTCACACACCTCACCGCCGTTCTCCCAAAAACAAGTCCATCTTCTGCACAAGTGGAAAAACCGAGCGACTCGGTGGTCTAACCGTGACGTGAAGAGGATTTCGATTTCTCAAGTTTTCTTTTTTCGGCTTTGTTCAAATCACAATATTCAAATCAGAGGAAGTGAACGCTCACATCCGGTTTTTTGGGGTCTTTATTTGAAAAGAGCGAGGTTTGCAGCAGGAGAAGGAGAACGTGTGGACCGATTGTCAGAATGAGAAAGGTCTTTGCCTGGAGAGCAGCCAGAGAACCTCCTGCTTCAAAATGTTAATTATGCAACTTAATACTCATTGCTTCGCAACAATGAATTCAGGCTTGACATTTGGTCAGTCGTCTCATCAGAAATACTGCAGTTGATTTGTCTTAATAGTTTGCTGATACAACAACTGTCACATCTCTTGCTGAAGTGATTCCTGAACCTTAAAACCTCGACTGAGGAGAAAAAAGATCATTTTTCTATGTGGTCGAAGTTTGAAACCTGCAGGAAGAGTGGAAAAAAACCACATAAGTTCATTGAGGTCCAGCCTGGCGATATTGGTCCACAGTGTTTTATCACAGACGGAAATCTGCAGAGAAACTATGGAGAAGTTGGTTGACCTTCAGCTGACGATGCAAGCGAGCTGAAACTGGGGAACGTAACGTTCAAATATTAAAAAAGCTTCTTCATATTAAATCCGTCCCCATGTCCTCACAGTTTATCATAAAACAGATAATCTGAGAGAAGATCTTCACCACCTTCTTCTCCCAGTGCTGTTATCGCTGAAAGTTTTAACAAATGCATCAAAAGTGATTATAAGCTTCAGTTTTTGTGAATTTACATTCTAGTTCAATGTTGCTTACAGCTTAAATGTTCTAAGGTGTAAAGTTGACATTTTCTGAATGTTTTCATAAAAATTTAAATAACTTAATTGAGTGAATGGACTAAAAATCTGTTGCACGTTTTGTATTGAAACACTGACAAATACTATATTTATTATTACAGTAATATTCTGTATGAACTTGCATGTTTCGGTGTGTTTAGATGAATATCACTAAAACGCTACAACCAATGATAAACTTACCAAACTAACGATTTGACACCAATGTTCTCCCATACTTTAAATCGACCTGCAAACTCGGCACTCAAACACAACACAGGTTTCATTTCATGTTGAAATTCATGCACATTTTTATTGAACAGTTATATAAAATACTTCTCATAGTTGCAAGTGCATGCCTCATCATCATCATCATCATCTGCCAACAGTTTTCGGAGTTAAATTACAAAAAGCAAGGCTTCATGTCGTGTAGTGAATTACTTGGGCACTTAAAGCAGTTCTTTAAAAAAGATCTAAGTATATATATAGAGAGAGATAGATACATACATCTATCTATATATACTTAGTTGTTGTTTCATCTTAAAGTATTGAGCAGTATCAAACCTGTAACTGATATACAAAGCAAAGTTCCAAATAAGATTATAAGAGGAATCAAATTACACTTTCTGTGGCACAAAAACCCCCAAAAACAAACAAACGAGCAAAACTTAAAACAAACAAACAAACAAAAAAACTGATTTTCACCTTTATAGGACTCAAACAGCTAATCATGCATTTTTTTTTTTTGTTGTTTTCGGGAGATGCACATGTGACCACACACCCCACGAGAATCGTCGTCAAACATGCTTAACTGGACTGTATGCACTCACAAGCGCAGGTTAAAAACAGGATTTCTCATTCGTCTTGGATAATGAAGTGCTTCAGTTACAAAACAGAAGGAGAGTCAAAGGCATAGAGCGTCTCGGTGTTAATTCAAAGTATGCAAGTATACGTTTCCAGTATATGTTCACTAAAGCGCAATATATCTCAAAAACAGGCCTCCAGAGCCAAGGTATTCAGGTTTTCTAATTCCTTTTGATTTTTATAAAACATGCATAGGCAGACACTTTTTTTTTTATCATACTCAGGTTTTTTTTTTTTTTTTTTCTTACACAATATAGGTTCTCTATTTTTTACTTTGTTCGCAATACTTAAAAAGAGAAAAATTTAACACTCAATTCCAGCAAGCCACAAAAAAAAACAACAAAAAAAAACAACAACAAATAAAATACCCCCCACCCCCCTAAAGTCCCCACCATTCAGATAGAGACAAAAAATAACATATCTGCAGATGATAGATAGGTAAGTGTAAATTCCAGTTATGAAACTCAAGAAAATAGGTATTAATTACCGAGTTAATTAACCATTATACAGAAAAATCAGGTTGAAGCACACACCAAAAGAACCTGAGGTAAGCAGAATATGTACAGAAACCATAAAACGTTCCATTATTTGGCATTTCGACAACATTGCAACATTTTTTTAAATATATTTTTAAGACTGCCTAATTAATTTCAGAGCTATTTTATAAGAGTAGCAAAAACAAAAGTCATCAATAAATAGTCCTTATTTAGTTTGTACACCCTTATATCTTTAAAAACATCGCCTTTCTCATGTTCTGTCCCTCTCTCTCTCTCTTTTTTTTCCCCCCTTTTTTAGTGCTGTGTTTTTGTAAACGTACAATAGTTAGTAAGAAGTTACACGACTTTCCGTTTCGGTGTAAATGAGAAAAAGGGTCGTTTAAGAAAAATAAAATAAAAGCAAACCACACAAACCCTACGGTCTCTCTCTCTCCTCCCCGTTTCTCTCTGACGGGCCGACCGCTCGGAAATGTGACCCGGCAAATAACTTAGCGGATTTGACTAGGAACTAATATTATGAAGGCATTTTAAAAGACTAGAGCAAGTGAGATGACCCCCCCCCCCATCACCCCTCCTCCTCCTCTTCCTCCCCCCCTCAACCCCCCTGCGCCTCCTGCGCGGTGGCGGGCCGTGGTGAGGCTGGGGGCCAGGCAGCCCCGCGGGCCGAGGCGGCGCCTGCTGCTGCTGCCGCCGCCGGCCTTCACTGGATGCTGCCTCCGCTGCCGGCGCTGGTGCTCCCCTTGGAGTCCGTGCCGTTGGTCTCCGAGGACAGGGCCCGGTTGAGCGAGTTGAGGCTGGCGTCCGAGGGCAGCGCGTCCCGCCGCGGCGGCATCCTCTCGTTGATGCGGTCCAGACCCTTGGCCTCCTCGAAGCTGGTGATCTTGTGCTGAGGGGAGAAGCCTTTGATGGCTGTTGAGACGTGGAGGGGAAGAAAAGCGGAAAAGACGAGGAAGTTAGAGGCGGTTTTTAAAATAAAACCGAGAGAATCATAAAAGCAGCTGATCTTGGTTTGTAAGCTTGAAGACCAAAACAAGAGTTCGTCCAAAACAAACAAAAAATAAAACTAAAGCCAAACCTTGCGCTAATAATGAGTCACTTTAACAAATGTTTATGTTCACCTTCTAGGGTTAAGAGTCACATGAGAAATTATTTATAAATCTGAAAAGCTTTGCTGACCTTCTGCTGCCGTTTCCTCCGGCTGCGTTTTATCCTCACAATTTAACATTTCGAAAATAAATTAGCTTCATGGAAACACGTTAATTTTAGTTTTCAATAAAAAGG